GGAAATGCACTACCTGTTAAAATACCAATGTACAATATTTTTATCAGATTAATGATCACCTATGGATAGTTTAGTTAATGGAAAACCTAAAAGTCGAAATGATTCTCGGATTTCACTGAAACGTTATGAGAGGATTGAGGAACCCCTTATAGAGTTAGTTATGTGATAGGCGAAATTGGGTCTACATTTTTTAGGGTGCCGACTGCCGACATTACAAAACGATATCATCGTACTACTGCGTATAGTTCACATTTCAGATTCCCCTCTAGATTTAGACAGTAATCGTTTAACCGAATAGTCAGCCGCGTTTAGATGGTTGTCGCAGAGATCTTGATATAATATTATTTTAAAAATAGCATATTTCACAATTTGCTTAACCTCTCAACTTAGGGATTTGCTTCATAAATAAGACGGTAAACAAAATAAAAATATTTAAGTGACTATCTGTTTAAATATTCAATCCAAATATTGTTTCAATCAATATGTTTGATTTTAGTAGTTTCATCAGACATATAGTATATTAAGCTACATGTTTGTTATTTAATATTAGTCTTTATAATAATATGTGGTGTGGGTGTTATGACAAATTATGTATAATATGCCAATTCATTTGCTGACAGTAAAAAACATTGTAAATTTCATTAATTCGACGACAACGACTGATGTGGTGATGATGGCAACATGTCTAATTTCGAGGAAGCGTAACGGAAGAACCAAATGGACGAAACGAATTGTACACTGTACACATAAAACCAAATATCTAATAGGTACCTAAATGTATAATACCTATTATAGGTACGTTGGTATATTATTATTATTTGATATTATAGGTATGCGCTGGTCCTCGTCAGTCGTCCGTTGACCATTATTGTTTATTGTTAAACCAAAAAACATAGTGATGTACCTATATTTCATGTGTCAGTTAATCCTAACAGCCGCGACTGTCAATTATTATCAAAATAGGCTTTCGTCGTTCTACATTAACATTCTGTACGCTGTAAAAAAAAAAAAATGGACGAGACAAAAAAAACTATGAAAAACACTTGTGAATTATTTGTATTAAACGCCTGCGTGATCGTACCGTTTAAGTGAGTACAAGAAGATTATAACGGCTTATGATTGTCGGGTGGCAGTAATAATAATTATCGCTAGACGCGTTGAAAAGTAATTGTTAATAAACGTAATATTATTGCCGACACTTTCACTGGAAAATCGGAGGAGAAAATAATCACAATAAGCAAGTCTGGAAAGATAAGCCGTAAGCGGTGGCCATCGTGTCTTCTCGAAGCGTATCGGCACGGCAAGTCAACGAACTGTTAGGTACGTTTTTTTTTTCATTGTAACCTCAGCATTGTCATGAGACTACAGCTCTATATTATATGGATACACTGCAGTAGCAGCAGCGTGTACTATTATATAATAATGTACATAATAATATATAGTATTATGTACACACATTTATAGATATATATACTATATTTAACTGCGTGCAACATCGTGTACAGAACGTACGCCAATAAATCATAATGTTGTATGTATAATATTTATAATATCTTCAAAAAAAAAAAAAACATGTGAGGCTCGACGATCACGGTTTGTGTATTTTTATGCGTTTTTTAGCGCACCATCGACAGTTTACTGCGGTGAGTTCAGATAATTAAAATTCAATATTATAGCAAAACGTGCACACATTGCGAGCATGAATATGTAGTCATCAAACGACTGTCGTCGAAGAAAGATCCTATTCTTTCAATCGCGCTTAAATGTGCACCAGGACTATGAACTCGTGAATAACACAAAAAATAACTATTAAAAATAATTATAATTAAAAATAAATTTCAACGTGACGTGGTACCACTATATTCGATAAACATAATACAGGATGATCAGTTTAACGATAATCATTTTACAAAAATGAGTGTCTTTTAAAAATGTTTTTTTAAAACACGTATTCTACACGTGAATCCGAACTAAACGAACCTTGTCCTACACGTATGTTTAAAATACACGTGTAGAATCGTCGGCTCTAGTGTGGACCCGCCACATATGACGATAAGTTTACCACTAGTTGTAGTAGTACTAAAATAGTATAATGTTTGAGACCGTTTTTTTCATTTTTTGATAAATAGTAATATTTTATAACAAACTACTGACTATTGTACAAGTGTACAACTGCAACCGGTGCAGGTGTTGTCACTTGGCGTACGGCGTTGTTATCTTTATACCTATAATAATAATAATGATATTCGTTTTTCTCTTTAGCCTTCTGTTTGAATAATAACGCCATGTGGTCGACCGCAAGAGTTTAACGGAAAATAACGGCCCAACTCTAAAATATAATATGTTTGTTAATATTAAATATAGTTACCGAAGCGTAGATGACCGTTGTGCACGTTGCATCAAACAAGTTTCAGTGGAGATAAAAAAAGACAGTACCCAAACAAACCAACAACGACAGCCAGTGGCTGGAAATTGGCTTAGGGAGTTCTAAAAACTTCCCTATTTGTATATAGAAACTAACTCCTCTTCGGAGGAGGCTATTGCTCGATAAGTGTAAGCAAAACAAAAACCAAGAGGGGTTTAAAACCTTTAAATCCACCCATGACTACGCCACTGACAATATATGCCTAGTAGTTATAATCTAATATGAATAAATACAGCGAGATAGTAGATGGATACACATAATAAGAATATAAATCTTCTGATGTCAGGAAATAGTTTGTAATAGTGCAACGTTGACCTTTTGTTGTAATAATAATTAGAAAGTAATAATGCCTAGTAGATACTAAATACTTTATTATATTAGATACTAATGTCGTGACGATATCGTGCTTTCTTTGTTGTTACTTGTTCCCGTTAGAGAAGTCTGAATATTTTCCCATCGGTGTGCAGTAAGTAGTAACCTATAAAGTTTTCACCCGAGACCAGCAGTGAGATAATGTATACAAACATTTTACCAACGATACGGATTACGGTTTTACGGATTTCCAATACTTCAGAATATACACGCAACGACGGTAAGACATTGTACGTCTCGGTTATACTTGTCAACCCGCCACTGTTCCACGTTACCTAATCAGTAATCACTGTTTTCTGCGTGAAACACGAATTGCCACCAATTATTTATGGATCTATCATGCATTCATTAATTTGTTTTGTACTGAAAAACGCGTGGACATGGGGCCCGTCTTTTACGGTAATTTAAACTTAGATAACTTGTACAAGTTGCTCTCCGTACGAGCGATTACTGGCAAATTTGTATAAAAATTAAAAACGATATTATAATTACTTTGAAATTGGTTATTCACTTGCAACTTAGAAACTATTCAAATTCAAACTACATAATATTTCGCTTTTAGCATACAATCAAATTTACTTAGATTCGAACTTTTTCAAAGGTACTAAAAACGAATAAGTCATTTTAAAAGTAAAACAAGTTACAGTTTCACATTGATGTATGCATTTAAATAAAAAAAATGTTTCGTCAACATGTAAGAAAGCAAATGGAACTTGCGATAGAAATCTATTTTTTATCAATACACAATAATCTGTATACAGACAGAGCTAGTGATAAGTTAATACAAATATAAATAATATTATAAAATTACAGGATTGAGAAAATTAATTAAACAAACATAAACAACTTTTTCATTGTATAAAAATATTTTTATTTTAGATTCAGCGTGAGGTATATCTAATAATATTGATAAGATATGACTAATACTATGCTAATAAACAAAAGTCAAAAATTTAAATCAATCAGTACAAATAACAATAGCTAACAGCAACAATTATAATCTTCATTTATAATTCTTTTGTTGCACTTTTCCGGATACATAGTAAAATGTCTAGTCTCAACCAGACAACCATATATTAAGTATGATGCTATAGTGCCGACCCATGCCGTACTGTCACCGCGTTATAATTTTGAACCCCGCCATCAAGTTCAATTAACCCATAAACTTTAACAGGAAATAATATTAGCACCTAGAGTCTTAGAGTTTGTTCTCTTATTATTATTTTTGAGAGAAGAACACCACATGAGGAGCGGATTTCACAAACAATTGTATCGATGACAATGTATTTTTTTTTAATTTGATCAATATCTTTTATATATGATTATACAGAATAGGCAATACTGACTAAAACGTTATTACTTTCTATACAGCTAATAGCTATATTTATAATAATCGATGTTACTCCTGAATATTTAATCGTCGTCGTTTCAATGTCACTTGTATAAAACATACTTAATAGATACTTAATATCTCAATACTTAATACATAATAACCGATCAATGCACGTGTGTCATATAGTTTTTTTCCGCCGTCATTGCTCTAAAAAGAGAATAATGTTTGTTTTCAACGTAGATTATAGTTTATACTTAAAATTTAATATTTGCATTTCAGAAGACGCACACTAATGTCGTTTTTTGCTTCAAAGAGATAGAGTAGAATTAATCAAATAAACAAAACGAGTGGGAAATGACCAGTCTACGCGCGTTTCGATTTCGCACGCGATGAGGTTGAATATACTGTTATTATTACAAAGATATATATGGTTGAACGATATGATTTGGCCTATATTTATTGCTGAATTTATAGCTTATAGTATGGCGCACGGAATGAAAAATAATAGCTGGGATGGAATCAAGGGCATGCCAGAAGACTTAATTACTCTTTCTTTAGTCTATTTTTTGAAAGCATATACTAGATAATATGATCAATAAAAACACAGTTGTTGTAACTTACAGAACTTTACTGTATTATTTACTTATTTCTAACGAAAAAAGTATAAGAAGGTATCCGGCCGCTTCATTAGCAAACATTTGTTTTTTACCGTTTTATTGAAAACGAGCACTTTGTTCAAGAATTTTGTCAACGCTGCAAGCGCTCGGGGAAATTTCAAATTTCGCGCACTATCGCACTACCCGTCAAACGCCGACATGCGTTGCCTTAGTCTATTAATTGCGATAACAATACGAGTACAATGTTAATTACCTGTTTTGTCTTTCTTCTCGTGTGTCGGAGTTCCCCAGAGCAACAGCAACGATAGAGCAAACAGCGGCCTACGCCAGAGCTATGCAGTCAGGAATACCGTGTGTTGTCCGGCGAGGATACAGTGAAATAATGCGAGCACGATGGGGGAAAGAACGTACAAACTATGCACACACGCGCGCACATACACTGATGGTTGACGAACGGACAGTCACCGCGAACCGGCAGCAGACGTTTACCGGACCGTATATCCGATTCGGTGCGCCGCGTCCATCAGCAGCAGCAGCTCACGGCAACAGCGATCAACATCAGCTAGGTATAAGCGCAAACGACAGTCATCACAGTCAGGGGAGGACAAGGGAGGGCAGGAAGGAACCACGGCTGCCAACTCGTACCCCATACCGGTGTGCGACGTTTATAGGTGTGTTACGGCTTCCGTATCCGGCGACGGCCGTCCGCGGGGAAGGAAACGCACGAATTAGGCGGTATAAAAATTAAAAAAAAAACAAAATTCATGATTATGTACACACATTTTTATCTCGATTCCGTCGAAACAAAATTAAGGCGATTGGGTACTGGCCTTAATTAAGGAGTTGTAGGTAGGCAATTTCTGGTTCTTTTTCTGTTACGCGTTGTCGTTGTGTGCGTAGTAAATGAACATTAGTGTAAGTGTTGTTATCTTACCCTCCCGTCCTCGCAACCGTCTAATTCATTGTTGAAATGACTCTCGTACGCACACGCACAAGTCGGTTAAAACGGCTACTGTTCAGGATTCGTACAATTTTATGCTGCAAAACTACTAATTTTCCTTCGATCAGTCCGATCGTTGTATTGATGCGATAAGACTTCTGAAAATCAATTTGAGTTCAGCGTGAAGTCTACTTGAGATCGGTCAGGCCACTTTTCCGGTTTCATTTAATAGTATTTTTTAAACACTACTACAAGATTTAACATTTTTCAAAAAAATTAAATCAAACTTGTGGAATTTTTAGGGCAAAATAAAAAAATGTAAGCTGATTGATCTCAAGTAAACCGAATTCATATATATTTTCAGAAGTCTTATCGCATCAATGCAACGATCGGACTGATTGAAGTAAAATGAGTAGATTTTGACGGAAAAATTGGCCGGTACCCAATGGCCCTAACAGCATTATTACTCTCGATGGCAAGCAGCTCGTATGGGATTTTACATAATGAATGTTTAAAACGGCTACAGAAATTAACGCCGTGTTGATAATACCATTGAGTAACAACTACAATAACATTAGTGAAAATTAATAGAGAGATCGCCTTAAATATCACAAAACTCTTTCAAGCCCTCCCTCTCATTGGTACAACTAGACTGAAGTCTAATCTAGTTCAAATCTTTCTAAGCAACTTAACTCCTCCAGACTCTCAAAAAATATCATTACCGATAAGGCATTTTCCCCCAAGTAACGTTTTTAACTTTTACCGCAATTCAGATGGAACTTTTGAAGTTTTTAAAAGATCTAAATTTCCTAAACAAATTTTAATATTTGCGCCTAGGATAATTAAACATATTATAGGAACCCACCGGTGTTAATAATATTATTTTTGTTGAGCTGTTCAGCTTCTAACAATATTATAAGAAATACAAATAAAAAACACTTATATCTGAATACTAATGTCTTCTACGGAATTATAACATTTTGTCAAAATAATGATGTTTTATTTTCATTATGTAATAACTGCGTTTCGCTTTCACAATATTTTATACATTTTAGTCAACGCAATGTAAAAAGTAAAAATATTAACTTTATTTTAAAAGTAGGGTAGAGTAAGTAGGTTTAAATTGAAATACACCCATAATCAGTCATGATTTGTATTTACTATTTAAAACCATTTCTGTGATGTTTTGGTAAAATGTTAAAGGTGATGTTGAGGCCTAAACGGTATGTAATGCTAACGCAATGTTAATAATTAATTTATCTTTTCGTACTTTAATTTAGATAACCACTAAATGAATATGGTTTAGTATTAACTTCATCATTCACCAATAATAAATCGTGTTTTAAGTTATCGTACAGCTAATTACGTTTTGCAAAAAAATCACAATCGTACAAAAATGTAATATTTGATCTCAGAATCGTAATTTGAACTAAACACTACTGTTCACACAAGAGGTTAAAAAAAAGTTCGAATAAGATAGGTACTTGATTTTTGTTTTTATAAGTGAATTATAATTTGTGGCTTCTACGGAAATTAAAAAAAAATGATTTACTGAAAGCAAATGTATAAAAACTGAAATTATTTCAATTTCTATCGCATTATTAATTCCTGGTTAATAGTATTCACACAGAAATTTTCACAGAATCTTAATTTATTGCTAAAAGTGCAGTTTATATTAATTAGAAAAGCAATGCGGACCCTTTATAGTTTATTTTTGTGAGGGAAAAATGTAAAACTATAATTAAAAAAGTTATTAAAATTACTTTTTGAAAAACTGACAAACAATTTGTTTAACTGTTATATTAATTATGTCTCAATATTTATAATAGAACAGACTATCGACATTTGAAACTTTAGTATATTTTAATAAACGGAAATACTATTACGCTCCAAAATTGTTTACTATGACGTCCTTTAATACATTTCTATTTTTTTTAAATGTTCATTTAATGACTGATATTTTTCTATAAAAGTATTGGTAGTTAGCTTTTTAAAGCTGATTCTATAGTAGAATAAATAGTTATTGGTATACTTAATATTAAAATACTGGCTAAAAAGTCTTGTGCTACGAGATAATTGTGACCTCATGCATCGAAACAAAAGTCTCTTTCTATCACGACCAAGGTTACGGCTGGAACTGCACGAAACAAAAAAAAAAGGAGAATGGACTTCCTCTGACGTATGTAATCGACTAGATATAATAATATATGTATTGATTTCTTAATAAAGATTGTAATTTATACACAATGTTTTGTCTTTAAATGCAATATTAATATTTTAAAATTTTCTTCTATGTTTCAATTTAACAGGCCTGAATAAGACCAATCGAAGCAGTCGACTACAATTTTACGTTGACAAATTTTAGTTTAATGAGTACTGCAGAAAAGTTTATCCCTTCTTTCAGAATACATGCTTTAACTTTAAGTTTTTTTTGCTTTAAGTTATATCAATGTTAAACCTAAAGTAAAAATAAGTTTAATTTACAAACAAAATAAATATTTCAGTTTAATACTTAGAAACTAAAATAGTTTAACTATTAATTTGTATAAACATTTGTGTAAACACACTTGTGATTGGGAAGATTACAGCCTGCACTTGATAATCACCTCTAAATTGAAATACAAATAAAAAAATTGAACTGCCATACTTTTGTCGACCACGCCAAAAATCTTAAAACTGTCCTTTTCACCCTCTTAGAACAATATTAAAAAAACTGAAGGATTCCCTATTACTGAAAGTGACATTTTACAAGAAATGTTTGCGACACCATATGCATTCAAAACACTCACCGAGACAAGAATAATATCCGTCCAAGGATAAGGGGAATAAAACTGGCTGCAGAAAGACTACTTAAAAAAATGGAAGTGTAATCGTCATAAGAGAAAATCTAAAAATTCTTTCAAAAAACTCCACACACACAGCCATAGAAATCTTAACTGTAGATCTTACAAAATGCATGGTCACTCCAGTTTAAATAAAAACAAACTGAAAACATGTCATTAAGACATAATATGCGTATAATAAATAATAATGTCGATAAATAAATTATCGACTAACGATAAGAGGACGCTACGCCGCCTATTTCTAAAGAGTGAAGCATAGGCGATTTTTCGTAAAGCCTTAATTTAGATCTTGAACTATAGTGTTACCTAATAATAGAGCAACGATAATTTTTTAATGGTAGTCATTTTTTTTGGCAGACTATCACAGTCATTTCAACAAGATGAATTACAGTTTTTTCCCCATAAAAACTGCTCTGCGCAGGACATGTGAGGTCACTTGCCAGTATTACAGTAGATTAACCAAATTTACTTATTTATAGTAAATCACAATTTATTAAGGTTTAAATAAGAGCTTTACATTAAATTCTATTTTATTGGCTTTCTTAACATCTCCAAACCGTGACATTATGCTTGCTCATTAATGATATAAAATAATATGCCAAACCACGATGATAATATTAAGTAAATATGACGTTAATATCCAGACTGAAAAATTATGGCGGGTAACTTCGGAGAATATTGACGGAAGTAAGAAGAAAATGTGTGTTTTTAAATTTGACAACAAAATTGTAACAGCAAAACAATCACCTTAATTTTTTCCTCTGAAATACATCTTATTCATAGATATTAAGGTTGTATAAGCTAAAAACTATTTCGTGCATGCGATTAACTCACGGCGTGTAAGTAGGCAACACTTTTATCTTTTAGGTAAATGTATCGAATTTGACGACATCGACGCCTTATTAATAAATTTGTGTAAAATTCGGTTCCGCGCGGTTAGCTGATTTATATACACATATTTGCTACTTTTGTTTATTGTGATCAACTTTAAGGTTGGTTTTGCAGTTTTTCATATTCCCTCTTTTCGTTTCTATTACCAGCTGGCCCTTCAATTTCTCTGTAATTGCATGTGTAGATATTCTTCCTGATGTTGAATCATGTCCAATCATATACCATCTTTTATCCTTAATCCTAATAAGTATCTTTCTGGTTTCATTTATTTCGTTTAGTAAACTATTATTTGTTCTTCGTTCGGTCCAACTTATTCGCATTATTTTTCTCCGACATCACATCTCGAAACTTTCGAGAACATTTTGTTCTGATTTGTTCAAAACTCATGTTTCGTATCAATATAGTGCCACACTCCATTTATTATATACTTTGACTAGATGTTTCTTAACCTCCATACTCATGTTATTGGAACATAATAAGTTTCTTTTGTTAATGGGTAGAGTTTTCAACTTGGTCGAGGGTATGATTATCGACTTGTATATTTGATTATATAATTTATTGTTCAACACAATTTCATTTACATTAATACAATAATAATAATACAATTTACAACATATTATATGTTTTTACAAATGTATATTTCTGGGATGATGCTCTTTGTCCATTGACATTTTTCTGTTGCCTGCCATCTATCTTGCCACTTAGCTTGTAGTTCCCGTTTGGATATTTTCCTGGCTTTTGTCGTGTTTCTTCCTTCTTTGTGTGCTTTGTGGTTCTGCATTTCCTTTGCTTGAAGTTCAGTGGGGGGTATTCTCGATAAAATGCTTAATGTGTCGCTTGAGACTGTGCGATAGGCTGACAACACTCTTATCAAAAAGGCGCGCTTGCTTTTTTCAAGTAATGGCCATCCTCCGCGTCCCAACTTGTCAGACAACATCTGAGATCTATAGAGCATCTGCGACGTCACAACAGTTGATATTAATTTCCTTCTTATTGTTTTAAGAACTCCGACGTTAGACAAGACTGTAAGATTTCGACTCCTGCTGGCATGTTTTCCCTGAGTAAGCCGTCGTAGAGCAGGTTCCACGTGGTGGGTCCAAAGACCGATCCCTATGGCACCCCGCTCGTTAGTTGTTATTAATCTCACTGTTTCTCCTGTTCTGTAACATAATTTCCTGTCAATAAAGTAGCTGTCTATAGCACGGCCCAAAACATATAATTTAACCAGAACATATTATAATTAAGACTATACTGTCATCATAAGTCGCAGGAGATCAGAAATAATCACTATTCATGAGCCAGAAGGCTAAAGCATGTTCCATGTTTTATAATTTTAGCCATTAGGCTTTAAGTAGATTGTAATATTTTTATTAAATCTAACCTCCTTGGTCATAAATAAATTTAAAAAAACTTTTAAAATTTTTTTCTTATTAAGAACCTATAAAGAATGTATGATACATTTTTCGAACACTTTAAAACTATGGTCGCACACACATTAGGTGATTTCATATAAAATGACTATTTACATATTATAAAATCCATAGCACAATCTATGTAGAGCATATTATGGAATGTAATATAATAATATATTTTCATTATAAATAATGTTATAATAAATATAATAAAATCACTTTAACAAATTATTCGTTTTTATTTTTATAAAAAATATATATATATTATTCTATGTTCTAAGCTACTGTAAAATATACATATTATACAATGGGAAAATAAAAAATTATAATTAACATACTTAAAACTTCTTACTACAATGCAGAATAATAATAAAAGAATTAACATAATTAACTGAAGGTCTTTTTTTTGGAAGACCTTATGAGTTTTAGATTATTTAGATTTATTTTATTAGCAAGACTATGACAATTCAATTCTAAGCGCGATACCGAGTCAGTCTTCTTATATCACTGCGCCACACATGAGTACGTAAGTATATATTATTATATAATTGTAAGTGTAGTATATGTGTGTTAGTGATGGAAATCTTTCCCATAAAAATCGAGGAAAACGCCCAAAACATTTATAAATTTTTCAGCTTAAAATTACAATGCTCTATAACTTTTTTAAAAGTAGTCGAAAAAGTTCCAAATTTATATGAACTGTTCTTCAAACATAGTACTATCGATAAACATTAACAAACTAAAAAAATATCAAAAACCCTTTCCCCTAGAAGGGATAGAATTTTTTTCTTTTTTTCAAACAAAGTTTTAGAGATTTAGATCTGAAAATTAGACCGAAGATAAATCTAAAATGGAACTATAACATATAAAATTTTCTCAAAAATCTATAGTCAAATTTTTTTTCTATTAAGGAAAAACACCAAAAATAGGGTAAATTTACACTTTGGCCGTAGTCAGTCAGTTTTTAGATTGTGTTTTTTTAATTTTGAAAGGGGAGTAGTGAACTTTTTCAACCTAAGGTCATAAAATAGTACAATGTACATGTTATCCCTTCTGCCTATTTTTTTAGAAGGCTGATTAGCCGAAATTGGTACAATGTATTATATATATAGATTATATACTGTTTTATTGAACAATATGTTGATATTGCATTTAAATTTGAATAAAATTATTATAAGTCCGTGAATATGTTAAAAAAATCTTAAACGACCTTGATGTCATTTCTGATAATTGAAATGTACAATACTAATTAATTTATAATGTTGAAATAAAAACTTGAAAATTTATACTTGGTGAACTTTTAAAAATATCTCAATATTTTGAACGAAATAAAATATTATGTTATTGAATATTGGAATTATATAAAATGGTATTGGAATTATAAATCAAACACCATATTATATTATTTAGTTAGTTGGTCGATTCAGAAGTATATTTTGTACTTCGTGTATACCGAGTATTTAATTATTTTTATTGGGAGATAGTCGTCGTTTTTATTAATACGTGTAACACTTATTCAACCATTTTATTATTTGATACGCTTCTGAATAAGGATTTTAATCCATTCTTATGGCATAATTTTGATTTTTTAAGATAATTTGATTTACACTACCAGACTACGTATCTACCGTATAAAATTGATAATTTTGAAAGACGCCAATTAATTATAAAAACTAAATTTTTATGATTTGAAAGTGACTCAACTTTAAATAACAAGACTATAAATATAATAGAAAATTATTTACATGTAACATAACATAATATGTATGAGCAATATAATATTATAATATAATATTCTGATACAATATAAATACAGTTCATAATTAGTGCCTTAAAATTGAACACCCGCTATGTAAAAAATCAGTCTAGTATTTAAAAAGCTATTGTGAGTCTAGACAAAAAAACGCCGTAGTAAAACTAATGCTTTTTTAAGAAACTTCAAATGTATGTACTAAAACATTTTTTAATAGATCAAATTTATTTTTATTTTTTACTATAAATATTATAAGTTACATCTTATTGAATTTGTATACCAATTAAAACGCAACAAAAAAAATGACTTGAGTATTTACTGACTGATTTAATCTATTACTATGGCAAGCACAAAATATAAAATAATATAATATAATGATGATACTATAAAAAAAAATGTATTTATTTCAATGTAACTGACCTTTTAGATGATAAGATTACACACAAGAGAAGTATTACTCCTTGAATATTATACATACAATAATGCATTCGATTAGACTAATCTTAATTACATAACTAAAACTTGTCTATTTAATGTATCGCTAATGAGAAATAATTAAATACTTATAATAAATATTAATCACAATTTTAAATGGTCCTTTCATGAAGAGTATAGAATGAACAGTCAAAATATACAAGGCAAAAATTGTTGAGGCGTTAAACCCGTATAGTCATTAAAGTATAATGTATACATCTAACAATCATTTTACAAAGTCTTGATTTATACGGATTGCCATATGTACAATTTTGCTATTGACGGCGAATTTTAAGGTTGAGTAATAATCGTTGTAAGTAAAAAATTACCTTCGATTATGCAAATCGAAATGCTGTGTTTAATGATAAAGGTAGTCAAAACAAAATTAATGTTTTATCTGCATGCAATATAATCAAAGTACAAGCAACCACCACCAAAACAATAATAAACGGTGTAAATGACGTACATAATCGGGCAAACTATACAATCTCAATCGAAGTCTTGATAACAATTTAACGTTCGGACTGTTAAATATTAATAATACAGTTCCTGTCTGTATAGTTGTACTTTGTAATTTTTACGGTATGTCCTTCTAACAAATAATTAAACATCAATTTTGTTGAATTTACCGAGACATAATCGTATTTTGACAGCCAAAAACCGAAAACTAATTCACTAATTAGTGTATCAAATACCTTATTTTATTTTAATTTGTTTTAACAAACACAGTGGTGATCCGAGTCTGGGTAAATTATTTATATTATTATTATTATTTTAGATTTATACTATGTTGTAGCTTACATATTTTTATAACTTATTTACTGTATTATTGTGTTATTTTAACAATTGTATTTGAAAATATGTAAATAATAAATAAATATATTATTATCTCAACACTCGTCTGTCAAGTAATAAGAATTTTAAAATCCCGATATTCACAAAAAGAGTTGTTTTAACCATTAAAGTGTAGAGATGAAATAAAAAAACTCAAAAATCTAAAACTATTTTTTTTTTTGTTTTCAATTACGTAGGTATTTCCATCAGTTATATTATTTGGTTGAGCACATATCTATGTTTTTATATTTAACATTCATTAAACTATCAAATTTCTTAATTTTTAATTTTTTTTTGGAAAAATCCTAATTTTTAAATTCTCATTGGCGCTTGATAGGGGTATTTTTTATTTTTTGCGGTATGTCAGTCTAACAAATAATAAAATATTTTTTTAATTTAATTTACTGAGACCTAATCTTATTTTGACAGCAAAAACCAAAAAAATATTTTAGTGTGTAATTAGCGTTCGCTCCGGTTAATACCTTGTTTTATTTTTAATTTTGTTTACCAACAGCATTGTTGACCTGAACTGGGATAAATTATTTATATTATTATTAATATTTTGTTATTTACATATTTTCATATCCAAATTACTGTATTATTGTATAGTTCTTACAATTGAATTAGAATATTTGTTAATAATAAATAAATATATTAATATTTCAAATTCTTAATATTCACCAAAAATAGTGAATTTATGTATTTTTAGTAGGTATCATTTCCTCCAATTAAACTTTTTAGTTAACACTTATTAATGAACAATGTACATATATGATATGTTGTATTTATATTTAGCATTCATAAGAATATCAAATGAGTTAATTAACGTTTTTTGTGATAATCCGGATGTTTGACATTTCCATTGAGCTTGTAGGTGTAGTTTGTATTTTTCACGGTGTGGTCTTGTAAAAAAACGTTTAAATATTTTTTATCTATTTTATCTCAGTTCTAGTTATAATTCGTAAGTCAAGATAAAAACAATATGTCGTGCGTATTAAATTTTTGGCCGAAAAAGGCTTTGATCGCTCAAAATGTATTTTATTGCGAAAATATGAATTAAAAACAAATACATAAATATATATTTCCACAAGCGACTCTAGTTTTATTTTGATACATCCATGGATTTTTATATTTTACAATATAGATAAAGTAGTGTTTGCCATAATGAAGGTAAAAAATATAGAATTCGCTCCTCTGTGGCTGCCTCTAAATCGAAGGCTCGAGACTTTCGCGGTAGCCATTATGCTCTCCTTGTTTCTATTCACGGGAATTGCAGGAACCGTGTGTTTAGCATATATTGTTCTGGGCACACGATTTTGGTGGATTGGAGTGGCTTATATGGCGTGGATGGTCCTTGACAGAAATTTTGCTTCTTCAGGTGAACCTAGGTAACATTTTTTTTAAACAGATATAGGTAATGTTGTAAATATAATGTCGATTGATTAACACTAATAAATATCATGATATATTTGTCGTACAGTAAATATAGGATAAGAAACATCCGAGATTGGAGATTATGGTCATTAGTCAGACGATACTTTTCTATAAAACTAGTGAAGACTCACGAACTTCCGGCTGACAAATCGTACCTATTCGCTACTCATCCACACGGCACCTTCAGTGCTGGCGTTTTTTCAAATTTCCTCACTCACGCAAGTCCTTTCCGAGACATGTTTCCAGGTCTAAAACCGTTCATGATTATTCTCGGCGTCCACTTTTATATGCCGTTTCACCGAGAACTATATATAAGTTTAGGTGAGTTCCACCATAGTTGTACAAAATAATATTCGCCAAAATGTCATTTCAAATAGCATATGCATTTTTGAAGGTTTCCGGGAACCCTCCGAAAAAAGCCTGGTAAATATTTTAGACGGGAAGAAAGGAAATGTAGCGGTATTAATGGTAGGCGGTGTCACAGAAGCATTCCAATCGTACCCAGGACCCGTCCACATAGTTGTAAACAAGAGGAAAGGTTTTGTCCGAGTAGCACTGAAAACCGGGTAATGAACACAGTAACCAGTATGATATAAGTAATTAATATAGATATTTACTATAAATCAATAATAATTATTCAAATTTTAGTACTAATAATTATGAGGTATGAAAAAATCATTCTTTTTATTCTAGTAAGGTATATAAAATACAACCATCTATCTTCTATAAAATTGAAATGATAAATTATACGTTAATGTTAACGAATTAATAACGGTAGGCGGGGGCGGATACAAGGGGTGGGCTAGAGGGGTTGAAGCCCTCCATTAAGAACTTGATTTTTTTTTTTAATTACCTTTTACATTTATTATCTAATGTTACCTCAAACCATGGTTACAATCTATAGACTAAAGATGTATCAGGACAACGATGGAATTCACATGTAAATGATGTCATTGGTATTATTAGGAATATTAGAGGCAATTCTGTATCTGAGTTTGAAAAACATTGTAAAAATGTTTTTAATAAAACAGCTTTAGTTGGTGAATAAATACCTCGCTTATGCGGCCGTCAAACAATAATATAAAAATTCATTGGCATATTTTTTTTTTTGGGCAGGGGGTCTACGGTGTCTGGACACCCCTCAAAATTTTGTTCAAAATACGCCACTGTATGGAATACATAGTTAGCCTAACTAAACATTTAGTTAGTTAGCCGAACTAAATGTATAGTTGGACCAACTATTTATTTAGTTACCTATTCCAAATATTAATCATAATTTTAGGTGGACCCAACTATGTATTATTTTCTGTGTAGGTTAAATATTTTTTTACCTTTTATCGATTATTTGATATCTCAACTGAAAACAAATATACTAAATAAAGTTTTTCATCATAACAGCGCTTGAAAAATTATATGAGGTCATCCATGGGTTCAGAGCGCCTAAAAGGTTTGGCAGTTTTAAATATTCATAATGAAATTCCTGTAAATCAATGAGGTCATCGACATATTTGCTAGAGCATTTAGGAGGATGAAGTGGGATGATTGGTCCAAATATTATGTTATTTAATTATTATATGATGTTTTATTTACTAACTTCTTTTTGGAGATACTTAAGTTTGTGTTGTGTTACAATATTAAAAATATTCAAATTTTTATCTTTTTTTTTCCAAATCACTATCTACTTTTGAAAATTAAAAGCTAACGTATACATTTAATTTACTTTTTAAATTAAGAATAATTTTCTGAAAATGTTGACTAGTCTATAACCAGTTAGGGATAATTACTGTTTAAGCTACTAAAGTTTGAAATTTAGGACGGTAGGTGGAGTGCGGTAGAGTAATGTGCGCAGATAAAAGAAATAATTCACTCCACTTTACTTCCCGTCCTACATTTTAATAGTTAAATAATTTAAAAATGAATTATTCAAAACTGATTATATACCAATCAACATTTTCCGCAAGTTATTCTTTATTTAAAAAATTAATTAAATAGATACATTACCATTTAAGTTGCAAAAGTTGGCAGAGTTTCTAAAAATACTAAAAAAGTTAAATATTTTGTAATTTTGTAATGTTGTATAATGATATAAATAAACATGTTTTCAAAAAGAAACTGTAAAATTGTAATTATTTTCAAAGAAAATTTTCTTTAATGAATCACCCTGTTTACAATAAATGATAACAACAATGATTCAACATATTTAATTATATTTTACAGTGTTAGACAATATTTATACACTCGGTGTACTATATAATATGATAAATTATATGAATAAATGACCTAATTAATACAATTTTTATAACTACGAGTAAATAGTATTGCCTTTAACTCAAACGACTGATAAAACCTTTAATAGTATATACATAATATTTTTTTTATTATTAAAACAATATATACATACATATTTAAACAGAGATATAACTGAGTACAAACACATAAAATACATATTTAAAAAAAACTATAATTTTTTGCGCTCAGTAATATAATTGACTAAGAGTTTTTTTATACGTAATATAGACAAAGTCTTATTTAGCGGTGGAAGAAGGAGGAAATGATTTCCGGAACATAAACCGAAGTTTTTAAGACTACGTGAGACATAAGGTATGGATATAGTGAGTGATGTAGCGTAATTCTATTTCTATAGAACTGAGGATGAAAAATTAAAACCGCAATTACTCCAAATTGCGCAAGAGACATTTTTGACTAATCATATTTTCCTTTTAGACAACCCTAACGTAACTCTAAAATAAAAGTGGTGGTATCATTCAAAAATTGATGGTAGTTTAAAGTTTCGGGGTTAGATAGATATAGTTTTAAAAAGTACCTACTTCAACTTCTGTGTTAAAATGTTAAAAATAAGTTGAAACTGTAATTCTTAACTGTTAAGTGATTTTGCCATAGATCCTTCAATTATTATTATTAGAGGCAATTAGAAATGTGTAGGAAACAACACTTATAATATACTATATAGTGTAGTATAATAGTATAATATACGTTATACTACACTTATATCGTACAGGTTATAAGAATTATGTACATGATATATAGAGCATCACTTGTTCCTGTATTTTCGTTTGGAGAAAATAACGCGTACGAAAAGTATGAAGTGGCAGCTGATTCGGTTTGGCATAAACTTCTAAAATTTATCAATTGGAAAAGCGATAGAGTGGTGCCGAATGGACGCGGTTTCTTTCAGTATACGTTTGGTATCATGCCTCGTAGATGTTCTATCGTAACAGTTGGTAAGTGTAGACAATAGACATTTAAAAGTTGTCATATTGTTGTCATAACTCAATATTATAATTTATAATTTTAGAAATATTAAAAAATGTGTTTTTATTTGTAAAATTGATAAAATATATGTATATAAATAAAAAATTAACTATATATTAGAAATATAATATAAATGAATGTTATTATAATTAATTCGTTAATTTTGTTCTAGTGGGAAAACCTATTGACTTGCCGAAAATCTCAAACCCGACGAAGGAAGAAATAGACAAGTACCACAAAATGTATGTAACCGAGCTGACAAAATTGTTTGAAGAACACAAAAACAAGTATTCGACGTACCCCGAAGAAATGAACTTGGTTTTAGACTAAAAAAAAAATAACCGTATTGATCGTTACGATTACTTTTGTGTTAATTATAAAAAATATCCCGCGCTTTATTATTTGTAATATTCTAATAACGGGTCTGCAACATGAAAATCATGTAGATATTAAAAAAAATATTGCATCACATAAATAAGCATTGAACAATTTGTATGACAATATTTTAGACATTCAAAAAAGATTCTTTACTATTATATTTAAATGATTGTCGATATAATATAAAAATAAAATACATAATATTTATTTAATATCTTTTAAAAATAATGAAACAAGCGTATCTACAAATTGTTATCAGAGATGTATATATGTATATATTAGGGTGGTCCTTAAAAAGTCGATATTCGAATTTTAACCTCGACGCCCCCTAAAAAGTTTCTAAATACAATAAAAAATAAGATTAAAAAAAAAATGATAAAAAATTAATTTTAACCCGTGCCCCACAATGGTTGAAGTTTAAAATATGGGCTTTAACATAGGATTTCGACACTTGTGTACAAATCATTGCATAACTTTTTTTTCTAATCCTTATTTTGAGTTGAACTTTTGACGGTATTGTAGCTTGGAGTCTGCTGAATACAGACTCCATACCCAAAAGTTCAGACCTGTTAAAATTGACGCCAGAAAATGAAATATAGGCGTTTTTTGTTACTTTTTTCCGATAACATTGTATTTAATGTACCTGAGAGATGTCACTTGGCCCAGAATCCTAATATTTTAGTTCAGTGTATCATAATTTTTGGTAGCATATTACAAAAATGAATAGACTCAACTAGGTCATTAACACGATGTTCAAAATAAAGTTAACAGTGATGTAATAAGTTTAAATCACAATCCTAGCAAAACGAATATTTTTGACAATACTGTTATCATCACATAACGTCATCTGCCGTCCCCACCTTATTCTCTGGGCATCACCTGGCGATCGGACCGTCCTCTAAATTTTTAAGTCGAAATTATATTCTTTAATATAAAACGTAAAACAATCCCATCTTTTTGGAAATAAGCTAAAAAAGTACCAAAAACCAATTAAACTTTAAAAGTTGATAAAGCTCTGGAAAATTCTAAATAAGATAAGAGTTAATACTGTCTAATATTCTAAAATAGCATATGATTCAATATGCGATAAAACACACAATTTGGTTTATTTCGATGTTTTTAAATTAAAAATGTATGAGATATTATTTTCGATCGCTTTTTTTAATTCTAGACCACTATGGGCCGCGGCGCTTGGTGGCCCTAGCCGAGTGTATACATTTGATGTACAAACAGGGAGACTAAGGGAATGAAATATAATTTTTGAAAAATTAGTGAAATATTTTTTCAATATTGGAAGCCGAATAACGGCCATCTAACGTCATATCCAATTTAAGAACTACCCTAATATATATATATATACCGTATTACATTTTGAAAACTTTTTTTTTATGTTATATTACATTAATAAACAATACTCAAATGTTTACCTTTTTAAGTATTTTCTAGGGCCTTACCAACATTTGAATCTTAAATGGTAACATACATGTTAAATTAAAATTTTTAAATGAAGAATAATTTTCTGAAAATGTTAACTGGTCGATAACCAGTTTTAAATGAAAAGTTTGAAAGTTATTAAAGTTCAACAATTTTACGAGAGGATGAATGGAGTGTTAAGTTAATTTCATTTGTGCACATTACATCCCGTCATAAACTATTATAACTTTAAAACTATTTGTTCAAAATTGTTTATCGACCAGTCAAAATGTTTATCAAAATAGATCAAATTATGTATTTTATCGCATATCCAATCATATATTTTTGGGATCGCTGAATTCAAATTTGAAATAATTTTTTTATCATTTCCCTACTTAAGAGGATTTTTTTTTAAAGTTGGATACATTTTAAGTTGCAAATCAATTTATACGTTTTTCGGGTAGTTTTCTTTTTGATGCCAGCTTCCATATTTTTTTTAGAAAAATTTGATTTTAAGTGTACGGTTTTATAATGCAAATGACGCTTTGGATAAATTCTATAAAATATTAGTAAATTTGTACTCATATTAGTCCTAAATAGTTTTCCAGTCCAAAAAAACTGAGGATTTAACTAAGTAAAATCAATTTTTAATTTATTTTCAGAGCCAAATCCAATATATACATCTTAATAATAATAATAATATTAACAATACTCAGTTTATGATTTTTACTTCAGTTATTGTGAAATTGCAATTTAATAAATAATATTAAATTATAATTATTGTACCTAAGGCTATATAGTATCTACTAAATACAAAAAACAAATTATTTTTAGTTTTGATGTTTAGCTATATCATTTGATTATAATTAAAATAGTAACTAATAACTAATTTAAAATAAGTCAAATTAGGTAAACTTGTGTGACCTCAAATATCATAATGGTATATGTATGTACATATGTAAAGAAAACTGTAATTTCTTTAGTTATGATTTCATTTTTATTCTGTTGCAGACTGATAAAGCTTTAATTATCAGATACGCTTAGGTACATGAAAAGAAAAGACGCGTTAGGATTACTTTTTATTATTTTATACAAATGTTAAAATATGAAAAACGTGACTATGTTAGTGAAATTAATTAAATATTAATTAGTAATTTAATAGTATTAAGAACGCATAGTAGGCAATTTAAAACAATAGGCAGATAAAAAATAAGATACAATACAGCATTCTAAGTCTATGTACATTTTATATCAACATTGATAAAACAAATTATGGCAAGCGATGAAGGTCTCTTAAAGTTAATTTTTTATGATATTATATTTACTTCGGATCATGAATCATCAAAATATTTATTCTCGATCATGTTATACCAAGGTTACACATAGCAGGACACATACCACGGTTACCACAGGCACCAAATAAAATAACAAAACTAAAAATAGCTTAAGAAATTGAACTAAAAAATTAATGGATTTTATAGAAAACTTTTCCCACAAAAGTTGTTAGTTTTAATAAGAAAATTTGTTTGGTAAACAAAAAATACATGGTTTCTGTTACGTATCAGCAGTTTATATAAATACATATTTTAAAAGCTTTGTTTGAGTATTTCGCATTTACTATGACCTTCCTATCGGGCTTATGTTATTTCCTACATAATCGTATAATGAAATATCATTGTCTTGTAAAACTATATTACTAAAGTTAGAATCATACATTTTTTTGATATAACACTGTACTTAGACCCCGTATCTATTTCAAAATTAAATTTTTTATTTTCAATTGATAGGTTAATTGTATAAGGCTTTATTCTATTTTGAGAAATCTTCCTAAAAAAATACGACACATTATATTATTATTATATTTATTAGACATGTTTTTAGATTCCGATCGAAGCTTGTTATTATATAGCATATTTTGAATTTAATTCTTTATTAAATAATTGAAGGGCTGCGGGGAAAAAAGATCAATGTAAATTTTTTTTTTTTAAATGAGATTTTGATATTAAATTATTTGTATTGTTGTATTGTATCTTTTATGCGCTCGAACCAGGAAAAACATAGATTAGTCGAGAGTAACAACCGCCGGAAGTTTAGGCATACAGGCAAAATGTATTACGTTTTGAAATTAAAAACATGATTTTCTCAGAATGTTAAAAAACTGACATTGATCTTTTTTCCCCGCAGCCCTTCAATTGTATAAGTTCATACACAATTATACCTACATTGTTCATACTGCATTTTATAAGGTAATACTATGATTGAAATATACAAGCTTATTGCACATATTATACCTCTTTTTCATAAAATATTCGATGATAAAAACAAATATGTCCGCGTAAAGGGAGCCTAGTAAAAGGGAAACTATTTTAGTAAAAACCGATATTAATATTCCTATAATCATCGTCAATTATAGTATGTATTAAAATATTTGGTATTACCTACTTTCTTACCCACAATATTATAGTAAATATATCTTAAAATGAATAGTTTAGACTTTAAAGTACTTGAGTAAGAATTTATTATTTAAAATTAAATGTTGGTGAAATTTAAAAAAATTAAGGATTCAAAACTGTGACCTTGATACTAATATTTGGAGAAAATATAGAAAAAAATAAACCAAGCGGTAGCGCATAGTAGTTGTCACGTTGGTGTCTCGTCTCTTTTACAAAAGCATAATTTTTTGGTGCCATTTATAGGTATAACATTTCTGAAACATTTTTAAATAAAAATGTATTTTTTGTTTATTTCTGAGAGTTCTACTGAATGACCTACTACAATAAATTACTAAAGCCATAATTATACGATGGGAAAATTCAAACTACAATGCAAGACAATTATTAAATACATTTAAATTACCTTTTTATTGTAGTAAATATAAATTTAATTTAAATGTAAATTTAATTTAATTTAGATGAATAATGAATAATTTGTTTTATACCTAGTTTTAAGCTTATACATTTAATTTAGTTGGTTGTTATGATTATTCTACAGATAGGCATGGTAAGCGCCTTTCTACACGTCACAGTTGTAAAACTTTTAACCACAATAAAATCAAGGATTTAGGAGCACCAAATAAATACACGAAGATTTTTTATCTATAATATATTTACTGTAATTAAGTAATTATAAGTAATTTTACTTTTTGTTCATATTGTGTTCTATTAAATTGTGTTTTAATTAATCATGAAAATAAAAAACGTGGAATTCGCTCCTTTATGGGTGCCTTTGGGTCGACGGCTCGAAACCCTAGGAATGGCTATTACGATTTCAATGATAATTTTAAGCTCACTGTCGTGGATTGTGATTATCCCTTATACTTTACTGTTCACACGTTATTGGTGGATCGTGCCAGTCTATATCATATGGACGATCATCGACAAGGACTCTGCGTCTTCGGGAGAACCCAAGTACTTATTCATACTATTGCACGCATGTTTTTTTTCGTCAAAACTATTTAAAAAAAAAAAACATAGACAACAGTTTACAAAGATTCAGTTCTATAATGAATGTCATCTTTTAATTATTTTGGTATGTTTTTATCGATTTAGGTACTTTGCACGCAGTAAATATAGACCATTATGGGACTTGTACAACTATACATCGCTTTGGGCTTTGTATAGACGATACTTGTCTGCATCACTAATTAAAACTTACGACCTTCCCGCTGACAAATCATACCTATTTGCGTCGTACCCACACGGCACCTTAGGCTTTGGAGTTTTCGGTAATTGTTTTAACGGCGCTAGCCCCTTCCGACACTTGTTTCCAGGTTTAAACGCATTTATGCTCGTTCTCGGCGAACATTTCAAAATACCTATTGGCCGTGAACTTTTAATAAATTTTGGTGAGTCGACCTAGGTTTCCTTGATTAAATGCAATGTCCTTTTTGGTGAAAATGTACTTGCAGGTTTTCGAGATGCGTCCGAAAAGAGCCTGATCAATATATTGGACGGTAAGAAAGGAAATGTAGCGATATTATTGGTAGGCGGCGTCGCCGAAGCGTTCAACTCGTTCCCAGGGCCCATTCATATTATTGTGAATAAAAGGAAAGGATTCGTTCGGATAGCGTTGAAAACCGGGTAAGCCAAGCAGTGGATTCAGACTATATGAGTATAAACGTATGTATTATATTTTTAAAATGCACGTATAATGTCCACAGAGCATCGATCGTGCCGGTTTTCTCATTTGGCGAACATAACCTTTACCGGAAACATGAAGTAGCGCCCAACTCGCTTTGCCATAAATTTTTAAAATTGGTCAATTGGAGAGGGGATAGGATATTGCCGAACGGTCGTGGGCTGTTGCAATATACCTTTGGTATACTGCCTCGTAGGTGTTCTATCGTAACAGTCGGTAAGTCAATGTATAATTTTGAAAATAAGGACATCTAGTTCATAAGAAATCTAAAAATTAAAATTTACAAAATTAGTTAGCGTTTGAGTACATTATCGTTTTACTCAATTCTAAAAGTTATTATACGAGTAAGCTGATATCACGAGACCCAAAAATCACATGTTTCAGAAAATGCATGAAAAAATTGGAATCTATACCTGTTTTCGTACTTACCACTACTGTCAAGGCTAAATCTACCCTATTATTAATAGTGTGTTTTTAAAAGATTTGATAAGGAATTAGATCGCTGTAAAAAAATCCTACAACGCGCAACTATCGCCTATTAATTTCCTTTTTTTTTTAAGTACTTGAGTGTTGGCTTTAGCGGTCAGCCTACTCATATCATGTGAGTTATAAGTATTTATTCAATTTATACACACCATAATTTAAAAAAGACTGTACGACTGAAAAATATTAGAAATAATAATACTCATTGTTTTATTTTATTGCCTATGTGATCGTTATTAAGGTGTTATTATGTGTTCATACAGCTGCCTAATATTAGGTAGTTAACAAAAAAAATCCTTTAATCATTTTGACATAATATACGGAAATTAAGATAAAAATATTTTGAAAACTTGATAAAACGCAAAACTTGATCAAATATATGTGTGATTTCTTACAGTGGGCAAACCGATTGATGTTCCAAAGATCTCAAATCCGACAACGGAAGAAATAAACAAGTACCACGAAATATATGTAACTGAACTGAAAAAGTTATTCGATGAACACAAAACTAAATACTCGACGTATCCAGAAGAAATGAATATGATTTTGGACTAATAGTTACATTTATACGACTTAAAATATAGTCTTAGTAGTTTCTTTTTATTTAAATTTTAAATGATATTAAATGTATACCTATATATTTTGTAGTCGACTGGACTTTAAAAAACGTTCAAATTTTACGATTTACACTTATTGGAAATATACACAATTTACATTTACATGTTTAACCTTTACCACTGATGTTCGAATAATTTCTCCATCACCAAACGTTTACCTGATGTTCTACTCACTTATAAGTATTGCATGAATTTGGAAAATTTTCGTTCAGTCACATTTGTGTTGTGGGTCATTAAATTACGCAGTTTTCAGAAAAATACCCATGTTTGAAGCTGTAAATTAATAGCAAAAAATAACTTAATTGGTTCAAAGATGATATGAACCATAAGAACATAACTTAAATTTTATATAAACAAAAAATGTATTTTTAATTTTTAACTTTTGGACCCCAAAAAAAGTTTTTGAAAAATTCAAATAAAAAAATAATTTAGGGTTAAAAAAAATGTTTTTTCTTAAAATATGGTTAAAGTACACTTAATTAGAATTTTAACAGTGCAGGTTTCATGTCTATACCACTAACGGCGGTTAAATTACAGTCAGAAAGATGAGGTGTTTTTGGATATTTTTAAAAATTGACCTACCGAGGTCCAAAACAAATTTTTTTAATTTTTTTAATTTATTTTTGTTATTAGGGACCTATAAAGAATGTATGATAAAAATTTCAAACATTTTTGAAGTATAGTCGCACACCCATTAGGTGATTTCACGTGGAATGACCCAGTAGAGTAATGCACACAAATAAAAACACTCCACCCTTCCTGATAATGTCATAGTCGATTTTTAAAATAATAACGTGAAAAAAAGTTATAGTTTTTTAATACAATTAAATAAACAATGTATTTTAAATGACAAATATTAAGTTAAATGTTAGGTTTATCAAAAAAAAGCTGTGACACTGTCTCCAAAATCTCGCCATCTTTTGTTTCTGGTACAAATATTTCTGCTCTAATATCATCACCGAGCGAGTAAAACTCATTCTACGTAGGTATGTTTTAACGCTAAATAAAAATTATGTGTTTAACGTCCTCTTAATGATTCACCCTGTATGTATGTATATAATCTGTAATGTAACATAATATTTCTAATTTGTTTTCCTCTATTACTATTTTTAGCACTGTATCATTACCATTATATTATTTCTTACTTTTTTTCCTACAACTGTTAATTTAAATATACATACAAATTACGTCATGGCGTTTAACAATAAAAAAAAATAAACTTTGGATGTTTAAAATATTACGCAAAATGTTTACGAATGTAAAAAACTTAAGGGGCTCTATACTAGCAGTTATTAAGGCGCATTGTATAGGCAATTTTTTGCTAACCCTAACATCAAGCAACAATTTTTAAACATACATATTACCATAGGAAAGAAGTATCTATTTTCATTATTATTTTTTAAACTTTTATAACGTATATAGGATCTGTTTTTGTACAAAAACACATGTTTCTACTTCAAACGTACTGTCCTTAAGAGGACGCTACACCGCCCATTTTTAAGGAGTAAAATATAGGCAATTTTTTACAACATTTTAACAATAAGGTTAAACTGTGATGTGTAACTATGAGTTCAGTAGTTAGAACTCTTTTTTAGTAGTTAAATTATTTTTTGGACTATCAGCATTCTTGACAGCGATTTAAAAAAAAAAATCTGTTGAATTGAGTTTTACGCGGATTAATTTTTCTCTGGCTTCATATATAGTTAAGGAAAGAAATTCATACATATTATTTTTGACAAAATTATCTGTGTTCCATCATCCGTATTTTTTTGGATATACTTAATACAACCAACGCTATATCGTTTTTAAAATAGTAAAACAAGTCCTTTCTTAATTAATTAATTATTCATTAACTGGTTGAAATATTAAAAATAGGGCGATGGTAGAACACAGACAATGTTGTTGTCTATATTATGTGAAAATTTGGTTTCTTAGTTTTGATTACAGCCTTTTGTAAAATTAATCAGCGCAAGGCACCTGCGTATTTTTGATCGAAAACGACTCATTCTAATTCAAACGTACTGTTCCTAAAAATACTCCGATTTAAGTTTTTAAAAAACATTTGAATTTTTCACAACATTTTCAATGCATCGGTCGTGGGCCGAGGCACAATTTTAAAATTATTTTTAGTTAATTAATTAATTTAATAAAAAAAAAATGCAATTTTTTAACTTTTTTCAACTGAAATAATTAATTAACTGAAAATAATTTTAAAATTGTGCCACGACCGATGCCTTGAAAACGTTTTGAAGAACTCAAATATTTTTTCAAAACTTAAATCGGAGTATTTTTAGGAACAGTACGTTTGAATTAGAATGAGTCGTTTTCGATCAAAAATACGCAGGTGTTTGCTAAATACTATAACTCACAATTGGTCCGGTGTGATTTTGGGATAGTAGCAAGGCAAAGTTAAGTTTACCCTTTTAGTTAATTTCGGTCCGCTAACGTTACAATTGACTTAGAAAATTAATATTTGTCCTGATATTAATCCGGTATAATTTGGTAAAGTTAGGAGGCCTAATTTTACCTACGTATTAAAGGTCAATGGTATTATGCGTTCGCGGTCAAGAGGACAGTAGCCAGAGATTAGCGGACCAAACTCCAATGATCATCCACTTCATACAGCCAAAATTATACAATTAATTAACCAACTATAAGTATTTGTAATATTTGTATTACAGACACATAATAACATATTTATTTTCCAACGTTCCTGGACGATCATCTTTAACAAACTAAAGCACTAAATGGCTTCGAAGAATTATCATATGAAATTTAGAATGTTGAATTTTGACATTTCAAAGAAAAATTAAATTCATGCCAGTAAGAAAAATAATACATGACTGAAAAAACATTGTAACTCGTAAAATGTTACATTGAATAAATTAAACCTAATAAATTTCCAAATTATAACATAGGAAATGACTAGCAAGTTGTCACTAGTGATGGGAATCCTAAAATCCTAAAAAAAACCTTTAAGTTGGGCCACTTAAAACTCTTACAAGAATTAAATACTATTCCAATATAAAGCTGTGTACTTAAGTAGAATATTTTTTATGAGAATGTAAAAATAAAACACAACACCAAAAAGATAAATTACTTTTGCATTTTGAATTTGTTTAAATCCGAAATCCAAAAGCAATTTATTGTCAAAGTTAAGCGTTTTTTTTAAATTTTCGTCAAAACATTTTACTTAGTTACACAGTTTTATATTGTAATAATATTTATAAGATTTTGAAGTGACTTGAAATTTGAATAGCGTATTTTTTTTAATCTGGATTTTCGTATTCCCATCACTAGTTGCCACTACCCATAAATACGGCGAATAGCAGAGTGCAACTCCCTAATCATGTATGTCAAAGAAAAGAAAATATAAAAAGCTTATTTCTAATTTTTTTTAGGAGTGTTTAAAACTGACAACGTTTTAACTGACTTTGTAAATTCAAATACGAATATTTCTTAATAATTACAAAAAAACCTTATCTAGTATCTACAACTTAGAGCGTGTGAATTCGGTAAGAGGGAATGAATTGTAAAATATGAAATGGAAATTATTTTGTTTTATTCTAACGATGATGTACACGATTATTGTTTTACTGTTCATGTATTTTTTCTAAAGCCGGGTTCACACGACTCTGTTATTCGCCGAATATTCGGAATTCGGTAGATGTTCGTTCACTTCGCGCGGATTGTCGGTAAATGACGTGACACGAGTAAAAGGGATGCCAAATATTTGTGCGATTACGCGAGTAGTGAAAATGGCGTATTTGTGTATGTTTGGCGAGCAGACGAAAAATGTTTAGAATCGAAACAAAATTTTATTACATTTTTCTTCAGAGTGCCAAGGAAGTGGTCTTGTATTTTCTATTTACACTTACCTCCCCTAGATCGTGACCTAGTTTGGTCGAACCTGTCCACCCCGGTAGCTCAGTGTAGCCACAAACTCAGTAGTGCCAAATTGCCGTCCTAACGAGCGCATGTTAGATTTTTTGTTCATATGCTTTATACTTATAATTTGGACGTGTACTGTGAAAAACAACATCCGGGTCCTCAAAATTATCTTAAACAAAGTATAAACCGTTTTTGTGAGACTGGTTAGGTAAGGTACTCCTCACATTTTTGGGAACTATGAGGGAAAGTATAAAAATGAAATTATGAAACCCCCTGAGTTCATGAGTGAAATATTATAGTGAATATAATAAAATATATTTTAATGAAATCGTGTATATATATTTATATTATTATTTTTACCAGTGACATTTTGTACACCAAAGGATAGTTTTTTTTCGCCAAAGTATATTGAACTGGCGATATTTGTATAAAAATGTTATTTTAACTTTTGTATTTTAAAGATTTCTATTATTTTATAAATATTTTTTGTCAAATTTTTTTTTCAATATTTTATTAGAGTTAATTTGCTTTATTATCGAGACATCTACGGTAAATAAAGAAGAACTCATTAAAATGATAAAAAATCATGGACGGCCAAACCGCCAACCCAGCGAGTAGTAGTGTGACTTTAGAAGGCGCGAGCGGATGAAGGTTAATGTATTTTACAATTTTAATACAATAAAATTAATTACTTAATTAACTGCATTTGATATAATAAAAAATAGAAATAAAATAATATTTGTAATGAAAAAATATTAAAATAAAAAATAAATTACAATTGAAATTTTGATGTTTAATTAAAATTTTAATTAAATTAATAAATTTAATTAGATAAATAAAAAATATGATGTAGATGTATAATATAAACAAAATATAATTAATTAATGCTTTTAATTTTTTAATTTTAGTTATATTTATTTTATTTATTATTATTATTATTATTATTATTATATATTATATAAATCTAGTATCTACTATATTTGTCTTAGTTATTTCATTTATTATAAATATATATTTGAGTGTCCCTTATTTTGAACTTTTTCTAAATGTTATGCTCTTAAGGTCTCAAACTGCTCTAGTGGGTGAAAAAGAGGCCATAAAAGTTTCAATGCTCGAACTCAATTTTTTTTTAAAGTACGTGTTATACACAACTGACTTACATACGATTTTTTTTTTATATCTTCCAAAAATATTGGAAAAACTTTTAGGGACTTTTTTTTACCCACTAGAGTAGTTTGAGACCTTGGGAGCATAAAATTTAAAAAAAGTTTAAAATAAGGGATACTATAATATATATATACATGCAGGCGCGTGGCGGAGTAGAGATAAGGCGGCAATTTATTAACGCTCGGTCGCCGGATCGAATTTCAGGCACTAGCGGTTTGTCCATCAGGCCACCTCTCTCTGGGGCCAACTTATTTGGTAGCGTTAGATCGACAGAGCCAACCATAAGTACAAAAGTTATCAAATAATTGGATATGTAAATTTTAGCTATAATATGTTAAGAGATATGACACTGATCAGTGTTACCCACTGATCGTCATTCCCCCATGTTCCCCTAATTTTTTTTTAGTTATCATATTTTATTTTTATTAAATGTAATTAATTTGATTTCTTTATAGGGAAAATCCGGAAGAATTAGGTAAAAGACTTGAAAAGTGAAGAGAAGCGCTTGTATGAAAAGAACTTGGGATTAGTAGGAGTAAAACGAAGACAATCGTGTTTGATTTTCGAGAAAGTTATAGAGCAATGTTACAGGACAGGTAATGCAGATGGGTGATGATGTAGTGTGTTAGATTGATAGGTTCAAGTATTTAGGATCGGTAGTACAAATAATGGTGGGTATTAGAAGGACGTGGAAATTGGATAAATTGTGGATGGATGAAGTGGGGGAGCGTCAGTTGTTTTGTGTGACAGGAAGATGCCTATAAAATTGAAAGGTAAATTGTATAGGACGATAGTGAGGCCAGAAATGTTATATGGGTCGGAATGTTGAGCAGTTGACAAGAAAACTGAACAGAGAATGAATGTAGTGGAGATGAGAGTGCTAAGATGGATGAGTGGAGTGACTAGGGAGGATACAATAAGAAATGAATACATAAGGCGTAGTTTAAGAGTTGCATCAATTGTGGGGAAAATGACAGACAATAGGTTGAGATGGTTCGGTCGTGTTATGAGAAGAGATGAGGCAGAAACAGTGAGAGGTGTTATGGAGATGAATGTAGAGGAAAAAAGAGGAAGGCCGAAGAAAAGATGGATATATGGGTTAAAGAGTGACATGAGGATAGCTTGGGTGTAGAAGGTCGAGCTCTATGGAGGTGTAAGACTAGGATGGCCGACCCCGTATAGTTGGAAGTGCAGATAAAGAAGAGAAGAAGACTTGATTTTATTTATTGATTGTACATGTGCAAATTAAGTTTATATTATTTTATCAATTTAATTTTTTTTTAATATTATAAATATTATATTTTTTTAATTTTTATTAAATAAAATACAATTAATGAACTAATATCTTTTATTTAATTTTGTTTATTAAAACACGGGTACAATATTTTTAAAAAAGGTTAAAAAGTGTCAAAAAAATACTCATTGGATATAGTATGTATAGTTGCCATAAGTAAATATACATACATTGATGTAATTATAATATAAATTATTAATTATGCATGTATATTTGGTAGGTAATATTCTCTCTACATCCGGCAAACAGACGAGTAGTAGGAACGGTATATTCGTCTTTTGTGCGAGAAGGCGTATACTTGGTATTCGTTATACATTCAGCGAATACTAGTGTGAACCTGGCTTAATATTTATTGAGATTAGCGGACCAAACTCCAATGATCATCCACTTCATACAGCCAAAATTATACAATTAATTTAGTGTGAACCTGGCTTAATATTTATCGCCCTACCAACACAAAGGTTCATCATTATCATGCGTTCGGTCCACTAAAATGTATAATATTATGCAATGCTGTGATCGAATATCATTTAGTAGTTAGTTCGGAGCAGTAACAACACATTTCACAATAATCGGTTTAGTAGAAAACCGTTGACGTGCAGACGCAAGTTAAATGTGTTTCTGTATAAATTTAATTTGAGTTTTGATTTAAAAGTTCATTTTAATTTCACATTACCATTTAACACATTATTTAAAAACCCGTTAATAAATAACTTATACCGTTTTGTAGTTCACAATAATTATTAGTATCAATTTTTTTATTGTTTCCTATAAACCATGAAATTTCCAGAAGTAAAATTTGCACCTTTGTTCGTGCCGTTAAACCGGAGAATGGAAACGCTAGTGGCCACCATTTGGATCATGACAATTTTGTTTTCAGGAATTACTGGATGTACCATACTCTGGTATGTACTGATAGCCACTCGGTTATGGTGGCTCGGCCTTTTGTACATCCTATGGATTATATTCGACAACATTGGGTCTTCGGACAAGAAAAGGTATTTTTAAAAGTAAAACGTTTAATTCGAATACAACCGTTGCGCTATAAAACCATGACATTTTTTTAAAACCGACTAGGCTGCAAATGGCATTAGCCTATTGGAATACAACGAAAACAAATGCTTAAAAGTTTTTTATGTTAGTTATTAGATTAGAAAACTTGAAGATAAAAATGTCGCCAAGAGCAAAATTTCATAGTAACAGTATTTCGTTTTTGTATAATGCTACATTGTTATTAGCTCCCTTTTCCACATACACGGTTTATCATCGAGTATTTTATTTTACGTTAAATATTATAGAACAAGAGATTATATAACATAATAATGTTGACAGGTTTACTTTTATCCGTGACTTGTCCCTATGGCATTATCTGAGGCGATACTTCCCGGTGTCTTTGGTCAAAACACACGACCTCAGTGCCGACAAGTCATATCTGTTCGCGACATTTCCACACGGTGTTATCTGTCCAGGTGTGTTCTGCAACTTCTCGACTAACGCCAGTCCTTTCGCACGACTTTTTCCCAGTTTGAGCCCGTATGTAATCACCCTTGCCTTTGCATTCAACATACCGCTACACCGTGAGATTGCCGTCGGTCTAGGTGAGTCGGCCAATATACTATACACTAACACTTAACACACAAAATTCACTTGGTTTGTATATCGATTTATTACAATTGTTTTGTCAACAGGCTTCCGGGGAGCCTCAGAAAAGAGCTTGATAAACATACTTGACAAAAAAAAGGGCAATGTGGCCGTGTTGATAGTCGGTGGCGTCGACGAAGCACTCAATTCTTTTCCGGGACCGGTTCACATAGTAGTCAACAGGAGAAAAGGATTCGTTCGAGTTGCCTTAAAAACAGGGTGAGGTAAACATTGACATTGTAACATGATTCTGTAGCTAAAATGATTCCAATCTTTTAATCAAAACTATTATTTATGTTTTAATTCTTCAGTCACAATTTATAGACTTAATAATCCTTAATGTTCAAATACTAATTTACACTAATTTTTGCAAATGTAGAGCATCGCTTGTCCCAGTATTCTCGTTCGGGGAAAACTACGTGTACGATAAGGAAGAACTGTCGCCCAACTCGTTAGCAGTAAGACTCTCAAAGTTCATTAACTGGAAAGAAATTAAATACATGCCTAAGGGGCGTGGGATGTTTCAATACAGTTTCGGTATTACCCCTCGCAGGCATCCCATCACTACAGTCGGTAATTAATACAAATTATACAATTATTAATAGTTAAGTATAGAAATATTTGATTTGGCTCAAACTTAATTTAGGTTCCTACATATAACTGCTTAATATTAACTAAACAAGCAGTCATATTTACCTCTTTTACATAGAAAGTTAGTCTAAGGGCCATATGGATCATAGACTTTGTATTATTAATGAAACGCACTTATTGATGAATCATAACGACTGACTACGCCATAATATTATAATGAGGATGAACAAGGAAACAATATTAGAACAATTGATATGAGTAAAACACATATCCAAACTAATATCTTGAAACTATTATTTAGTTTTCATTCATGTAATATTTTAATAATAGGTGTACCGGGTGATACTTTTAACGCCCTACACTATTTCACTAATTACAATTTTGTAGTGTTTCTTTTTTAAAACATTTGTATTTATGTTATAGTACATTATTAGACAATATTCAAATTTGTACCTTGTTTATTATTTGCTAGAGCTTTATCAACTTATGAAACTTAAATGGTAACATATACATTTAATTGAATTTTTAAATTAAGAATAATTTACATATAAAATTGACTGGTCGATAACCAGTATTGAATAAATATTTTTCAAGTAATTTAGGTTTAAAATATAAGACGGTAGGCGGAGTGCGGTTGAGAAACGCGCGCAGATAAAAATAACTATACTCTCCACCCTTCCTCCTGTCCTAAATTTAAAACTTTAATAATAATATTCAAAGCTAGTTATCGACCAGTCAACATTTTTAGAAAATCATACTTAATATAAAAAGTTAATAAAATATATATGTTACCATTTAAGTTTCAAGTGTAGTTGGTTAATATTAAAAAATCATTATGACATTATATAATAAAAAAAAAACTGATCATTAATAAGGAAAAGTTATTAATTTTATAAACCTTCTGCTGAAAAACAGAGTACTAATTTTCATTTCCTAAAAATTTGTAGGTAAATAACCAAAAAAAATAAAAATATTTTTTGATTTTAAAACGAATGGAACAAAAATTGTTATACGATGTTTTAGGTATGTGATTTACTTGTTTTAATTTTTTTTTTTTAAAAACATATTAAAACATTGAATTGAATTATTACTAAAAGTACATTCTACAGGAATATTAATTAATAGGAAAAAAAATTGCATACATTAGTTAAAGAACGTGACAAAACATTAATTATTTTTAAGGTTAAACTGTATTTTAAAATTAGTATTAGTAAATTGCTTTAGTTTATGCATGTAAGTTATTACAACTAAAATAATTTTACTAAGATTTTATTGTTCTAATTTACCGTCTAAGCAATCGCATCTTAAAAAATGTCATTGACAGTCGTGCTGCGGTGTTGACACCATTATTTAATTTCTGTATTTAAGAAGCACCGAAAGTCACGGTATTAACGAGTATGCGAGCGCTTAGAGATTAAAAAATTTAGATTTGCTGTTGATTTTAAAATTTGGATGTCTTATTAAATCGTACAAAATGTTACTAACAAGCCTTTGTTAATCAACCATTAATATTTTAAAGAAAATATTTGATATAAAATTTACAATTAATAGTCATCATCGAATTTCCGTAATGCATATAAAATGCAGTATTTGGGTAAGATTATAAAATATTAACTAGCTAAAAGCTTGACATATGAACTATTATAATAAAAAATTTAAATAAAATATTAAATATAAAAATCTTTTAGTTTATTTAAAAAACTAAATATTAACAAAGTTCGCAAAACGTCAAATCTAACTCAAACTTACGTAAAAAAAAGAGTAATAAACTTTACATATGGAGTGACTTTCAATTAAAAAAAACTACTGTTTTTAACATTTTAATAATAGTACTAATAAAAACTGTTTTTATGAGTTTAATTAACCAAGTAGAAAAAATACATTAATAATTGTAATACATCTTTATCTAAAACAAAATAAATGTAATAATTATTAACTTACCTACATCTTTTAATTCCTATAAGATACCTAATCTTAAAACAATATTACTGTTATTTTTATATTTTTCGCTTTATACACCAAATATGGCTTCAAATAAGTGATCTCAGTTTTTCACAATTTTTTTCTGTTCCTACACCCCTTCCAAACTAATTATTTTTACATCAACTTTTGGAACTTAAACGTTAAGGTATACATTTCAATACATTTGTAAATTGAGAATAATGTACTAAGAATTTTGACTGGTCGATAACCAGTTTTGGTTAACTATTTTTTAAGTTATTAAAGTTTCAAGGTTAGGGCAGGAGTGGAGTGTGTTACTATTTTTATTTGCGCGCACTTCCCTTCCCGTCCTAACTTTTAAACTCTTGTAAATTTAAAAATAGTTGTTCAAAATTGGTTATTAACCAGTCAACATTTTAAGTATAATATTCTTAATTTTAAAATTTAAGTTAATCAATTTATGATTAACTTAAAAACAATTTGTGCAAAATTGAGATCACATAGTATAAAAATACTACGAAAAAAATAATTAAATTTCTCTTTAGAACTTATGAGATATTGAGTGGTTCACGATAAAATGATCACCCCGTCTATATAATATATTATATTTTGTTTATCTTAAAAACATTTTATATTTACAGTGGGTAAGCCGATCGATGTACCTAAAATTCAGAATCCAACTACGGACGACATTGAAAAGTATCACAAAATATTCGTTGATGATCTAGTCAAACTGTTCGAAGAACACAAAACAAAATACATGGAAAATGCTGAGAATATTAATATCGTGCTCGATGAAATTCGTAGTTAATATAACCTCAACAGCATTATATTGTTTTTATCGTACGTGCTTTGTTGCATTTCGTTAAATTTACGTACAAGGAAATCATTGAATTCTAATAAAGGCTATAGATTATGTACCTTTTTAAGGAATATAATTAATTTTCTAATTAACCAATGACAATTACCACATACTATATTTTTAAATAATATGTAGTCTACTACCCAAAACAATGTAATTGTTCTTATTAATTTCAAGATAGTACTTGTTGGTTGTTTTTATACTTTAGTGTACCGTGTTGTAAAACGTGATACATTCATTTTTAATTAGAACATAATACACCATAATATATAAGCATATTGTTATTTGTTTCTCCCTATTTTTTTATCTACCTTGATCCTTACTGTTTATACTAGTTATTGTACTTCATATTTTTGATAGTTAACAGATTATTTAGAAAAATATAACGGACTTCTGACGACCTTTTAACAGAAAATAACCAAGACAATTATGTTGTAATTAAGTTTTGTCCGTTTAAAACAAAATACTGATTTATAATAACTTCAACAAAATGATTCAGGTTTTCCCATACAAACTTAAAGAATGATCTCATGTCAGGAGTTGAATCGAAAACTTATGTTGCAAAAATATATTATATATATAATATATAAGCGCAACTCATTTATTTTCGCATCATTGCGTGGGAAACTTAACTATTTTTATCCACATGTAACGCACTTCGTTTATCATTATTATTGTATAATAACATCCTGAATAGTACTAAACTAATTTGTGTAATAACGATTTATAATTACTATATTAGGTAAATTTATTTAGACCTTCAATTAATAAGTATTTTACGCTTAAATAATAAAATAAGTTTACTAAAATAAAATAAGAGAATAAATTAACTTTAAATATTTTTTTAGTTAATTATTTTTAATTATATACGAATTCTATGAAACAACTATATTATTGCTCAAAGTTTTAATTAATGTAGAAGAGATGTATTATTAAGTTGTCCACTTTTATTATTATTTGAAATTGTTATTGAAATTATATCGATGTCTGTTGAATACTATTGTGGATTAAAGTATCCTTATTTTGTCAATTAAATAAAAACAATGAATTATTGCTAATAAAAATGATCATAAATTGTTTTACTGAATAATCCATTTTGTTTTTATATTATGGTAATTATATTATTGTGACTTTGCATTTTACTATTGAGTAGGTAGTGAGTATTATTTTTTTATTAAAGACATTTAATTATTTTATACATTAAATTTTATTCAAACACAATTAATGGTTAAAACGTTTAATTAAGAGATCAAACTTCAAGCGAAAAGTGACAACAGTTTGCGTACATTTTCCGTTTTCAAGTTGCAACATTATAGTAAAAGCACACGAGAACAGTTAAACAAGTTCCGGTTTTAACCAAGACCAATATTTATTTCAGTATTTTTAATTTTTTGGAATTTCATGTTTTGTATGAAATTAAAGGTATATTAGTTTGACTCTCCTAATCAAAAATCGAAAATTATCGGCCCATACCTAGTAATTATTGTTTACGTCAAGAACACCTCTTACACGATTACTTTTAAAAATAAAATATGACTCACTTTGATGATCGAATAATAATACAAAGCTAAGCTAGTCTTTTATCACTCAGGTTTCTAATGTTATCCGAATTAGACGTGAGGCATAATCACATGCATTATCGGCGAACGGTACCCGCGGTGGTTTAGCATATTGTTATAATAATATGTACTATACTGTATAGTAAACGAAATTGATAAGCTATATTGAAATTTGTCCGGTTATCTGTTACTTTGGTGGGTAAACTGTGAATACACAATGGTATACTGAGTGATCGCCGACCGAGTCAAAGTACAAAACACGCGGTTATCATAAATATTACCACTGACTATTTCTACAGCAGCTATACCTACTATACATGTAGTCGTTACTTATAACATTGGTTATTATTGCTTGGCTATGACCACTGCACCGTTGTGCCTCCGAGTGACGGCCGAGCGCAGTGCATAACTCGTCGGCTTATCGGCGACTACAACAGGCTACGGCTGCTTTTCGGCAGTGACGTTTTGGCAGATCGAAATTTGTCTATGTGATTTAATCGGCGGGGAAAAACGTTTTAATTCTGTACTGCATTGCACTTCGTGTTACTCTCGGTTGTATTGTCTTTTCCAAGGTTAATCGCCAGTCGGTATCCGTGTGATTCGCACACAAACAATTTGTCTTTCGATACACGGTTTCTCCGCAGACTTCGAGAGTACTTAACTTCTAGTTTTTTGAATCGCCAGCAGCCGGTCGACTGCCATGAAGCTGAAGGACGTGGAGTTTGCGCCTTTATGCGTGCCCCTCAGCCGAAGACTGGAGACGCTGGCCGCGGCCGCTTGGATCCACCTGGTCGCCTTTGGCGGCATCACGGGATGCTTATTGATCGCTTACCTCGTGTTGGCCACTCGGTTTTGGTGGCTGGGTCTCTTGTACGTGGCATGGATATACATAGACAGGAACACACCGTCTTCAGGATACACGAGGTATATAACATTACGCTACCCATAGACAGCAAAATAACATCAAAAAAAATAAATAAATGCTAGCAAAAAAACAAAAAATATCTCTATAAATATGGCGAATATCATAATTAACTGGCTAAATTCAAATCCTAATCTATGTATAATCTATTATATTTGCTCGTTTCAAAGATTGTACGAGTTTTTAAACGATTTTATTATTTTGCAAACAAACAACTAAAAATAGTAACTGTTTATGTTATGATCAGTGACCATGAGTTTCGATGACGATCATTATATAAATATTATCTATAAGTACTAAAACATTAAAACCAAGAGATATTAAAATTTAAAAACAATTTAACATAATACGTTAATAAGCCTAGAGAAGGTACGCGCGGTTCACTTATTATGTTATTTTGGATGAAGTCGTTAAAAATGAGCCGCGTAATTTGTAAATACTAACGAAGTTACGCCAGCCTCAACTCGGGTTCATTTGAATGATTTATCCACCATGACCTAGTTTTTAGTTTTATATACATTGAGCCTTATACCTAGCACATTAAAGGTCTGCTGTTAGGCCTGTTACACAGAATGGTTTTTGCGCCGATAAGAAATCAGATTCCTACAAATACAAATAAAAACGACAAAGAGATTATGCGTAATGATATATTTACCCTAAACGTTATATCTACAACATATTTTTTCCACACTAACAATCGTGTATTATCCATACAATATATTTAAACAGCATGTTTGATAAGATACGTTTATATTAAAGCTATTTCTGTAGAAACAGTCATTTTTTAATATTTATTAATAACGCTTAAAACAATAATATAATATCAATGTAATTACAGTATAGTTTAATTTAAACTAGGGGCGTGTGATCATTTAAATTGTTGAATAATTTATCAACAAATTTAATTGAATAATTCAAATCAAAAGTAGGCTTATTTATTATAAAATTTACAACGTATAGCAAAGTCACGCGATATTACAGTAGTCATAAAACAAATATTATTGTCTATTGTTTAATTTTTAAAAATACAATTATATCAATATCTTCACACGTTTCGTTAAGTTTATTCATGTGACTATTTATAACGCGTATCTTGTTAAATACACAACATTATTATGCTACGAGGAGCGAAATAATAGGTTTTTTTTAAATCGAACAACAATAGAAGCATCTAAATACTAATGCCTATTATATTATAAGAACATAATTTTATGCAGTATTTATTTTATTGTACTCAACTCAGTTTAAGAAAATAATACAATACTTTAAAAGAAATAATAACCATTCTACATAATATACGATATTATTTTCTCACGCTAATTACAGTTGAAAAAATAGTGATGCTACTGTATAAGTATATGCCTCTTTTCATAAAACTACTTACACAATAAAGATCAATATTTACAAATGACCTCATAATTTATACTTTTTCATAAAACAGTTTGAAAAAAAACTTTATTTATTTCAAGTATCAAAAAATTTGACCTCTAAGCTTAAAATTGTTTATTAAGGGTAGTTTTAAGGGGAAAATGTGTAAAGTCTAATAGTAACATTTAATTTATATTATATAATTTACTTATTTAAACAATAATGGTAAAATACAAATTGTGACTAATCGATAACCAGTTTTAATTAAATACTTTTTATGTTATTATTATTTTAAGTTATGCTCGTCGGAAGAATATAATATTATTCTTTACCATTCTCCCTCTCTTTCCTATAGTTTTAAACTATAATAAATAATAATTAATAACTCGAAATATTTTTTTTAAAATTGGTTATTGCCTTGTCATTGTTTTCATGAAATCATTAAGCATTTGATTGGTAAAATAAATATAAAGGTTGCTATTGAATTTTAAATGTGATCCTTTAAACAAAATATTTTTAAATACTAAACATTTTTTAACAAACATATTTATTTTATAAAAAAAAACAATGATTTTAATATTATTGTCAAGCTGTTTTCACATAACAGTCAATTTAATTATGTTGTTATTTTAATGTTTATGCATACATATTATAAAATGTTCAAAGTTTGTTTTGCTCATTAGTCATTATTAATGTAAACTAATTGTTTTCCATTATTAAAACAAAATAATAATAATTCTTTATTTACGGAGGTAAAACACCATTTTACATAATATAAATAATTAATAACAGATTCATTATTTACAGAAAAGTAATTTGTACAAAAACTACTAGTAATTATTGCTCTATATCAGAGCTAAAAGTGTAGAGATTATTTATTTTATTTTATTTATTGTTTTTATAGTCGAACTGTTTTGAATTTGTTGTAAATGCCCATTGGTATAAATATAATTTATGCTGACAAACCTTGTTGAATGTTGCTACACATTAACATTGGTACATTTTCTTAGCTGGTTTTTTAGTTATTATTTATAATTGATACATATTTAAAATACACAATAAATTCAAAAAAATACATTGCATATTATAGATAATATAATTTCACAATAGTGTTTGTTTTAATGTCTTAAGAGGACGTCATACACACAATTATCATCTGGAGTTAAAATATACCTACGCAGAATGCGTTTTACTCGCTTAGTGATGATTTTAGTGCAAAAATACTTGTAACAAACACGAAAGATGAAAATATTTTGGAAACAATGTCATATGCTTTTTTTGATAAACTTAATATTTTACATTTAAAATCACAGTTCTTACTTTTTTAAAAATAGCTTCAACTTTTATTCACGTTTTTTTTTACAAATCGGCGACATTGTCTCCAAAATGTTATCTTTTGATTTCATATTAGATGTTTTTGCTCTAAAACCACCACGACCCTAGTAAAACGCATTCTGCGTAGCTATGTTTAGATAAAAAAATGATTTAAAAACGATGTCAAGGAATCTGTGATAATTTAATAAATAAATTAACTACAAAAAAAAAAAAAAATTCTTATTTCCAAACTAATAATTACGCATTACAGCTTAAGCTTTAAATTTTGATTTTCGAAATTGTCAATACGAGTATGACATCCTCTTAAACAGACACGTCTTACGAGAAGTTAGTTTTATTATTTGTTTAAGTCTTTTTACGGTCTAGAAAAAAAATTAGAAACTTTCGCAGTGTTTGTACGTTTTTTCATAACATTTAATATTAAAAAATAAATGATTTATATTATATTTATCTCGCTAATTAATTTTACTGTAATTTCTTATAGAATAGGGTAGTTACCCTTTTTATTTTATTTTGGTTTTGGTTCGATGTATCGTGTATACAATTAACCTTGTTGATTTACGACTCGTTGATCGATCTCTAACTATACTAATCTGTATACTCAAACACGAATATCAAATAAATTGCACTTATTATCATTGAATTTTTAATTGCTGTTAAAATTTCATAATTTTGTTTAGGATCCAGGGAAGCTTTTTGTTATCATTGTCAATAATTTATGGTTGTTGTCTATTGATGTCATAAGTTTACTTGGTTTTTATTAGTCACGATCGAATTAACCTGTAATCAATATTGTCCTAGCGATCAGCTGACCTGGTGATCAAAGACCGGAGACAAATTCGTCGGATATAACGTTTATCGCCAAATGAGACATTATCTTTGTACATCTATGACACCGTACAAAGTACAACTTATACAAATCATTTATTATAATAAGCAATAAACACTAGGAGTTGATTTTATATTCAATATGGAATTTGTTGTCTTTTCGAATAAAATTATTTACTGTTTTTACAAAAGTATAAATTAATATCGAAGTAAAATTTTTCTTGGTTTGCTTTTTAAATAATGTCATTGCGTTTGAGTTCACAGGTTTGGTTTTGTTCGAAATTGGAGTTGGTGGTACTACTACAAAAACTACTTCCCCGTGTCTCTAGTAAAAACTCATGAGCTGCCTGCAGACAGATCTTACCTGTTCGCCTCATATCCTCACGGAGTACTGTGTTCCGGAGTGTTTTCCAATTTTGCAACCAACGCAGGTCCTTTCCGAGAGATGTTTCCAGGTCTCAAAACGTTTCTGATCACGCTCAACTTGCATTTTAGCATGCCGTTTACCCGGGAACTCGGAATCGGTTTAGGTACACTGTGCAACAGAAGTCTATATAAAGCGGTTGGAACTAAAATTAATAACTAACTAATGGCGTGCTCACAGGTCTCCGGGAATCATCCGAAAAGAGTCTGGTGAATATTTTGGACGGAAAAAAGGGCAACGTGGCTGTACTCATGGTCGGTGGTGTCTCAGAAGCCTTCAAGTCCTTCCCTGGACCCATTCAAATCATAATCAACAAGCGAAAAGGATTCGTTCGCGTAGCGTTAAAAACTGGGTAAGCCTTTTTCGGTTCGCAAAACAAATTTAAAACCATAAAATGTCTTATGAAAGTGCTAATATTATACTACATTTGATATGTACCTATCGTTTGCAGAGCATCTTTAGTGCCAGTGTTTTCGTTTGGCGAGACTTATGTCTACGGAAAAGGCGAGGCGTCACCAGATTCATTTTGGGACAAAGTGTTGAAATTGATTAAATGGAAAAGTGGCAGGCTGGTACCGGTAGGTCGAGGATTGTTCCAGTATAGTTTTGGTATTGTACCGCGAAGACACCCCATACATACTATCGGTAAGTATTATTTGTTAACATAAACAAACCAACTTAAAAAATGATTTTGAATTGTATTAAATTAAACAAACGTTTAAATGCATGTCAAATCATCAAAAAATGAGTATTAACATATTTTTAGATAAGATCCACTAATTTAGCATTTAAACATTATTTGACAAATGCTATTTTTATGAGTTTTTTTTTTAATGTACTTAACATAAAAACTGGCCCTGGATCGTCAATATTTGATTCTGTCATTATTTAAAAAGGCCACAATACACAAGTAAAAAACAATCTAAAAACTATGTGTTTTTTAAGGTACACAATAAATGTTTCAACATTTTTATTGTGTTTTAATTAGGTACTTAATTTCGACTGTAATTGACCCCTGTAAACCGGTGTTCACGAATCAAACGGTTGCGAACGATTTTTCGTGTGACGTTGCCAAATAATATAACAATAATATTAAGTAGCACTTTTTTTCGGCCAAAATATACTAAAACTGTAAAATGTATAACTTAAAGAATGATTTTTTTTAAAGTGATCTATGCAATATTTCACAGAATTTAATTGGTTTTTATTAATTATTTTTTTCCGTAATGTTTTTATACAATGTAATCTTAATTTTGCACAAATCTTTATAATTCTACCACTATCCAAATTATTAATTATTTGTATAAACTTTTGAAACTTAAATGGAAAATATATATATTCTATTCGTTGATTATTTCTTGACAATATAAAGTACTATCGATTTAGAGAATATAATAATTAAAAATAATTATTATAATTGCCAAAAATAATAAACATACACATTCAACCGATCACCAATTGTGATAAACACTAACTAAACGAAAGTTTGAACACAGCTGTGCACATAACGTAAGTTTCAGTCAATTTTACCGTATGATAACGACCAAATTATATCGAAAAAAACTTTGTCAGATATTGGTATTTGATGTCGGTATTGCCAGATACTTATAGTAATTTTGTAGAAGATAATAATTTATAAATATTTACGATTTACGATTTACTTTCGTTATAATACTATTATGTAGTCACCGATAAGATCCATACGGCAACGTTGCATGAGAGATAGCAGGGAAAAACTGTCGCAATCGTGTTGTTTAAAAGGGTAATACCGATAACTTTTTATTGTACCTTTTGGCGACCCATAAATTATTTATATTAATTCGCGATAAAAACACTTACATCTCATAATTTGTTTTAAAAATCAAAATTGTTTTAGTAACAAAATGTATTATCTTTTATTAAAACAAAATAAAAGGTAGTAATATTTTGTCGACATAATAAGCAAAAGCTGATAATATAATATCGAAAATTTACACACCGAGCGTTTCCGACAGTTTGAGACACTGAGCGGACGCTAATAAAATAGAAAAACCGTATTTAATCAGACTGCAATAAAGATACGCAGAGACGCGAATGTTTAATTTTTGACGGTCAAACGCTATCATTAAACTATAGATAACCTATTCACACTAGACAACTTTAACAGTCTTAACTTTTGTCAGTGACTAACAAAGTAATAGTGCATTATGTTAATGGCCCAAATGAAGCCTATTGATTTTTTCTAACTCAATAAAGGATTATAGCTAAGATTAGTACATTTTTTTTATGAATAATTGATAGCGGTTTTACATAAAAGTTACAGTCGACTTAAAGCCTACCGGCTAAAATTATAAGACATGGAACATGCTTTAGCCTGCTGGTTCCTGAATAGTGATTGTTTCTAATCTATAATCTCCTTGCGATTTATGACGATAGTATAATCTTAATTATCTGTTTTGGCCAAAACATATAAGCATGACGACGACACTCGTTATTATTTCGATGGCATCTTATATGTTATACCTTTGTTACATTGTTAAACAGTGTATATGAGCGTTTCATCAGAACCGCTACACCCATTTCAATCGTGCAGCAAATTATGAGTAGAGGTGCTGAGACAAAAGCCACAGGGACCGACCACGGCAAAATGATCCGGTGCATTCAAATCAATCTTAACAGAAGTATTTCGTGTCGCTATTCTGAGACGATTTTTTTGTTTTAATCGAACTTGGAGGCCAAAGTTAAAGCATGTTACATGCTAAAAATCGGGTTGATGATCGCCTAATAAAGAGGCCATGTAAAGTTTATTAACTGAAATAGTAATACAATGTAATATAATATAATACAATACAATATAATATACTACACTATAATCTAATACGATTAATATTAAATGTATAAAATGATATGGAATTATTAAGTTTAAAACATCGGTTCTTGTAAATTACAATAAATGCAACTTATGTCATCACCGTTTCCTTTACATATTAATAACTATAACTGTCCTGCTTACAGTTGGCAAGCCGATAGATGTACCCAAGATCGAGAATCCTACCAGAGAGGATATAGACAAATATCATAAAATATTTGTCGACGAGTTGACCAAATTATTTGAAGAACACAAAACTAAATATTCAACAAATGTTGAAGAACAAAATTTAGTTTTAGACTGAAAAAAATGTACAAGATGTTTTTGTCCAGACTCTACCAATCTGTTTTAATTATATTATTTTAGGAATACTATTATTCGTACATATTTTTATACTTTATGAGTGTTAGTGAGTAAAATATTTTATTGTTCAATTATTTTTATTATATTTAATGTTGAAAATTGTATGTAGAATAATTATTTCATTTAAAATTGAAACTTATACATAAGGATTAAAATTGTTTTATTATTGTTAATGTGCCGTATGTTTGTTAATGTAATACAAATTACAATTACTATATAAAAATAAACAACTAAATATAATGTTATAATAAATGTAGTAAAAATTAATTGTCAATAGCGTTATAGATGTCGTTATATATATATATATATATATATATGATTCCTACCTTACTCTAAATGAATATAACACTTGTGCCGTAATTATTTAAAACTAATTATAATACTACTTATTCAAAAAATATATTTGTAAAACAAAAAACGCGTTTAAATATTTCTAAGAATATAAAACCACTTAAGATGAAATAATAAGAAATAGCAAAAATGAAAGTAGTACAGCCAAAAAAATAAACACTTTGAATAAAATCTGCAACAAAAAAAAAACGCACAACGTAATCAGTTAGAAATGTTAATATTAGTTTTATGAATAAGTAATATGAAGCGTATAAAAAGTACTCGAGTAATATTACTTTTTCCTGATCACAAGAATATTCGTTTATAATACATAAAAAAAGAACACAACCAACACGTACAAGCAAGCGACATCTATTTTAAATATATAAAACTACAAATCTAAAAATTGAAAAATATCTTGTGTACAAAGAAAAAAAACAGGATTGTACCTTGTCTTGCCATTGGCTGTGAAGCTTACACTCGCTATAAGGGATAGATGAGAACGTCACGGAATTGTACAAAGGTATCCAAATTTCGGGAAACCATTTGTACAGCAAATTATCCAATTTCTTACGCCATAAAAACGTCCGCCGAGCAACCAAATCACGCATCTATTATACATTACATTCAACATTTAATACATATGAAATATTAAGGAATATTGTAATTTTTTTTCCAAAAGATAAGTTCCATTTAGAGTGAAAGGAATGAGTGCTTACAAACAGTAGCGAAGTCAACAATGAGTATAAAAGTAGAAAATAATAATCAAAAGTGAATAAAAAAAAAAATAAAAAAATGAAAGTTGCTAAAACGAAAATAAGGGTGATTGGAGCACTGGGTAAAGTAGATTTGGCAATGAGTATATTATATAAGTGATAGTTTGAAGTTGCAGAAACAATTTGAATATGGTTTGACAATGGAAGAGAAATAACATTGCAATACAGATATTATTTATGTTAAGAGGGCGTCGCACCGGTGATTTTTAGTGGTAAAAACATGTTTAAGCAGACTGAAAATAACTCGCTTAATTTTGGTTTTAGAGTAAAAGCACCCATTATAAAATTAAAAAAGAACAATATTCCGGAGGGCACCGCAGTGCGTTTTTTAAAAAAAAATAATTTTTTTAAAAGTTACAGTCATTTAAAAATGTTAAAATAGTCGTTATTTCCAAATTATGTATTGAGCGTTATACTTGGAATAATGAAAAAAACGCACTGTTTTGCCCTCCGGAATATTGTTCTTTTTTAATTTTATAATGGGTGCTTATACTCTAAAACCAAAATTAATCAAGTTATTTTCAGTCTGCTTAAATTTGTAAAGAAGAAAATACAATATACTTTTCATTACCCATGAGAATTGAAGGACGTTATGGATGAAAATTATAATTAATACTATAAATATACCCAATATATACCCAAGCTATATTAAATCGCAACAAAATCAATGCTACGTCAAGGAAAAAGTATTAATTGTATTTTAATTTTTAATATGTTTGATCCAACTATGGCAAATGGCACAGCTTATATCTGTAATTTGTTATAACTCATTTTTAACCATAGTATCATCAAGTATTTATAATAACTAATTATAGGTTCTAACTTTTAAGTATAATTCTAACTTGTTGACTACGTTATTGTATTATAACTGTAGTCTGTAAACGCCAAAGCCATATTTTAATAACAGCTTTTTGACGTGATAATATAAAACTGAACAATGCTCAGTTTAAACGTATTAATTTTCTTCTTTTTTTTTTTTTTGGAAAAATTGTATAATTTAATAAAGCGTACGAATATAATCGAGAAAATAATCAATCAGATAAGATTGTTATCAATTCCTGATGTCACCGAAAAATACTTCTGTTATATGATAAATTCTCTTATGCGAAGATTAGAAGTAATATACTAGACTAGTATGTACATTGTACATCCACAATAGAAGTATCCATTGCAAAAAACTTAAGATGATTTACTAAAAAAACGCTTATTTAAGTCTATTACAAGAAGTTAACATTTTTTTAGGATTTTCAAATATTTAACTGATTATAGCTTTTATAATAATAAACTTATAAAAAAAAATTACAATATAAACTAGTCTAAAAAGAAGTGATCACTTATCAATGTGGAGTCAGGGTTATCACAATATTTAAAAAGATCCACTTGGTTTCGAATTTGAAGCATTTATTTTGATCTTAAACATTAAAAATATAATAGTAGCCAATATAATATAATAAAGTAGTAATAAAATCACAAAAACACTTATATGCGTTACCTAATGGAAAACCTGGGCCTTTCTTATTCCAAGAATAAACTACAAAAATAATGAGTTATTTGAAATACATATTTAATTGACTATTTCAAATAACCTATTATTTTTAATCATTTTTCCAATTGTAAATAAATATTTTTTTTTTTACTTGTATGCAAATAATTTTTTAAAATTATTAATTAAATAAATATTATTATTAAAAGTTGATTGAAATTTTACTTAAATAACATTTTATTTGAATGTGTTAAAACTTTTATGGATTGAACTATTAGTTTGATCATTTTCGGATCTTTCCATAAATGCATAAATCCATTTTGTTAAAAGTTAGCTGATGTTTCGCACCCATTGCACGGTCCATCTTCAAAGCTATAGTCACGGCTCTACTGTCACGACTATACTGAATTCGCCGCTTGTTTCCTACCGGTATTTATATGTCAGTAGTGACAACCGTGTTTTCTCGACTAAGTGATATCGTAATAAGTCATGTGGTTTTGTTTTTTATTTCTCACTGTTTATGGCTGTTATGTTTTATATAATATTTGCCCAATAGTGACCAATTTGTAGATATGAGGTAACGGCCTGCCGTCTGAGATATCAGATAAGTGCGAGAGAAGGTTCGAAGTGTTGGAACTCATATTAATATCCCAATACTTTCTTAAAAGTGTACCCATCGAAAATAAAGTTGCTGAATTCATATTTTTTTGTTAAAGACAAAATATACTTACTTCGATATAATTGTAAAAGGCCAAATCGCTAATGGCTTCTGCATCTATTATTCTTCTTTTGGAAAATGTTTTGATCACAGTCTTTAGATCGTGGTCGTATTCATTGAGCAGTTGATTAAAAATCGTGCAATCCTCGAACCCCTAAAATGTGCAAGTATATCACCGGAAGTTAAATATAATTTACAATGCCTTACATACAGCGTTCATTCCTTGACCGAAAAACGGAACCATTGCGTGTGCGGCATCACCCAACAACACGAATTGATCGCTGTAATGGTATGGGTCACACTGGAAAAGAATAAAATAAAATTTAACAAATTACCACTTCATTCAAATAGAATTGGAATGAATATACTTTTATTGAAATCAAAGGTCGCGGTTTTCCCGAAGTCAGCTGGAAGATCAAATCGTTTATCCCGACCAATTCAGTAAAATCTTTGAAGTTTTTTATGAAAAATGCGAGTACTTTTTCTCTGCCAGCCTCGATAATTAGCGAGAATTCATCCATAGGCATGAACAACGTACAAGTCCATGACTTATCCTTATTGGGCAACGCAATCAACATGAACGTTCCTCTCGGCCAAATATGAAGATGACCGGGGGATAATGGACTCTACGGGTAAACATTAGATAGAAACTTCCCAAGAAAATATAACCCAATATTACTCGTGAAGCGTCAGGTTGTAATTTTATCTCCATGTATCCATGATCGATGTACTTTTGCGAATAGTTGAACATCGGTAGACGAGACATGTGGCTGCGGACCGTCGAATGAGCGCCGTCGCATCCGATGACCAAGTCAGGCTTCACGATTTCTTTCTGATTACCAAAGCTAAAAAATATAATCAATAGGATTTATAGACAAGTTATGTAAATTATCGACATCCACGCACTTACATTTCAAACGACAACGATCCGTCTGTAAAATTAACGCCAGTCAGTTTATGAGAAAACTTTAAACTCACGTTCGAATATCGTTCCAGTTCTGTATAATAAACAAACAAAAAAACATGTGTACCTTAAGGACAATGAAATTAGTTTTTTCACTTGGAATAATACTCTACGAGAGTTATATTTTGTTAATCGATTGTATTTTTCCTTCTGATATAAATATTAAAACTATTGATAAAACACGTTTAAAAGTCATAGTGGATCAAAATGTATACATTTTAGCTTCGATGCAGAGCGGCGAAGGTACTGGTTTTGCTCTGGCGTATGCTTTTTTTTTATTTATGGTATGTAGTTTTCCACAACTTATGAGGTAGGTATTCCCGAATTTATTTGGGGGAAAAAAGGTATTCCCGAACATTGCGAATTTTCACGTATATTGGACGTAGCCTCATTTTAAAGGGAGAGGGAAGGGGATAAGATAATGTTATGTGTGGATAAGATGGAGTCATAGATCATTGGATTTCGTAGATTCTAGGACCAAAGGCGCATGATCAAAAGTTTTTCATTCAAAGATGGAAGTTTTTTGTGATCACGTTGGTTTTTGTTCTTTTAGAAAACATGTCGTCATTGTCCATCGCACTATTATGTAAGTTAATACAATATCATGTTAATTAGGTATCTTTTTATATTGTTATTGGTATGTTGTACTGCAGAAAACTTAACAACATTGCTATCGGATTTTCTGTAGATAAATGTTGAAATGTTTACTAACTGGAATTCATTTAAATGAAACTATTTATATGAAACTAAAACTATTTATTATTTGATGTATAACTCAAATATGTTTAAAAATAAATTAAATCTTCAAAACTAAGACAGAGAAAGGGTTTACATTATATTGTAAGGCTGAAAAACTACATAAGCTGCATTAAGATATTATGAATCTATCAACTTTGTTCAACTTCAACTTTTTAATCAATTTGTTTGATCCAGAGTAAAACATTGCTTTCTAATTAATTAAAAGTATTTATTAAATTTTAGTAGTGATTAATGCATTTCAGCTTATTTACTTGTTAATAACAGCTCATTGAGTTCTTTTCTGCTTACCGAATACAGGCACTAAAACATTTAAACTTATTAGCTATTATTATCTGTTGGTAATATAATTAATTTAAAATGAAATACAAACAATACAAGTACATAAACACTTATAAGTACGCGCAAGCGTTCATTTTTCAACATTGATGAGATGAGCTACAAGCTGATATTTAAACTTGGAGTTATCTCATAATTGATTTTTGAAATAAACTTTATCAATAATTAATACATATTTAAACTTAGATGCAATACTTAGAAAAGTATAATTACTTTATGTTGAGATGCATCGTACGGTATACTAAAAAGTCTCCCGTCATTTGAATGTACCATTCTTCCAAACATGGGAGTTGTAAGTTCTTCAATAACAATATTATCAAGACCCACAAAACGTAATGCTTTAATGCCTCTTTCTGATAATGCTAAATTAATCGATCGGCCCGACATGGTCCTCGTTAGTCTCATATCTACATAATATATGGACACAAAGGTTGTATCTCAAATCTTAATGCGTAATAAATATATCGTACGTATGTGCTTAAAAAGAACATAATTTTAGTAACACATTTTTATAATATTATTAATATTTTAGTTGATGGACACAATTTATGTGATTCGCAATAGCTTGCAAGTAATAATTTGTCCTATGAAATTATTTTAAATCACAACAAAATATAGTTTAAAGTAATCATGTGTAATGTGAATTGAGTTATTTTATTGATTGAGTTAAATATTTTCCCCTATTTATATTATTTTGTTTAAACGTATAAGTCGTGCCAACAACTAATAACCAATTTATCATTATTGACAACAGTCTACGACAATTTAAACTTCTTTAATCTAAAAAAATATTAAAACTTGAGGGTTGCATTGTACTTACACTGTTTACACAATTTGCGGGTACTCCCACTCGAGTAACATGACTTGTCTGCCAAGTCTTAGGCAGACAAGTCAAACTACTCAAGTGGGAGTATCCGCGAGTTCTTTAATCTAGTCAAGCTAACCGTTAAATACAACCAAAACTAATAATACATCTTAAGAAATAATGAAAATAACTATAGTAACTTGTGAAGATTAACATGGCGACAGGTATTTCTAAAAAATATACGTATGGCATTATATTTTTTATGGGACTATCAAATTATATTATACAATAAGATGTATAAAGGAATGTGCTTAATAAATAGCCATTAAACGAATAATAATTATTAATTATAAAAACATGAAAATCAAAAAAATACAAAGCAAATGAGATTACATAATTTAAATAGCGCAAAATGTTAAATACATTTCAAACAAACTTAGGTAACTTATAAAACCAATATTTTTAATAGAAGCAATAAATTAATTTCAAAGGTGAAATAATTACATGGATACAAGAACACACATATATTGCCACTAACAACGACGCAATGACTTAAATGGATAAAGCAACAAAAAGAAAAATAATACTACTCTGATGCAAATAAAAATATTATATATTACAAATGTATACTTAAAAGTAATTTGCACTACAATAAAGAAGCCAATCATTAGCAGCCGAGGCCGATAGATAAAAACAATAATAAAATAACATACAATGTACTGTTCACTTTTTTAATTTAAAGATCTACTGGAGCGGACGAGCAATGAAATGTACACATTTTCTTACAATTTAAGTTTATACTAAATGTATACGTTTATTTAATTTTATGTACCTTCTCTCCATTCATAGACTGATATATCATATCCATGCTCAGCCAAGAAACATGCGCATAATGCGCCAACCTAACAGCAGTTTTTTATTATTTCAGTATTAGTAAATAATCTAATAAAAATCCATATTACTTACCGGGCCAGCTCCAATAATGGCAACTTTCTGAATAGATTGGGACGCCATTCTGGTGTTGCCGATAGTTTGAGAATGAAAGAATCATAAAATGCATAAGTTAATCTATATTATCGAACGTCCTACAAATACAAAGAGAGAGAGTGTGATTACATAATTAAAACAACACCTGATACTTAAAAGTATTACTTTATATGAAACCCATACAACTACCTAGGAGTATCTGTGGTGGCAGGAGGGGGCAACATACTTATCGATTACTTTATTTTATTATTAGTTTACAAGCATATTTATTTGTTGTGTTTTAATTGTACACATATGTTTATTATTAAGCTGCTAATTATAATTTTATAACTAACTATAATTTTTTTTAAGTGCTATTATTTTTACATATGTCAGTATATTTATACTTATACAACCAATAAGCTATAAACATTTAATTAATTTAAGTATTATTGTAATCTGTAGTAAAAAAAAAAAGTGAATTAACATTTTTCATACAGTATCTAGTTACCTACATCTAAATTATTGTGTAACTTTCAGAACACTATTCACATTCAACTTTAATACTTAACGCGTTTTAAAATATAGTTTAAGCAATTCACGATTCGTCTGACCAGCTTAATAAAAAAATTAAATATAGTTAAACAATATTAATATTATATACTTAGCTCAAATTGATGAAAGCGGTCGTGAACATGTTAAAGAACGTGTTAAAGAAGCATAATACTTTTATTCTCAAATTTTATATTATAATGTGATTTTTTTTATCATGGGCCTTTTATTATAGGGTTTTATAAGAAATTAAATTTTTTTTCAGTTTTTTTATATAATGTGATTTCAATTTTCCACAAATTATTATGTTTCTATCCTCCTTCCCCCAAATAGTTTTTTTGATAGCAACTTTTGAAACTTAAATGGTAACGAATATATTTTTTAAACTTTTTAAATTAAGAATATTTTATTAAAATCATCCTATATTATATAAGAGATGCAAAACTCCCTTATCTAGTAATGTTTTAAATCAAACTTTTTTTGCTAAAATATTATTATTATTTAAGCAATTTCATGTAAAAAAATTGATTATGGAAATTCTATTTGCTCCAGAACTAACAGCTCTAGTTTTAGGGAACAAATGTTATATAATAGATAACACAACTTTGAAATATTAATGAAATTAGCGGAAAAAAATAGGTAGTAATTTCGAACCTATCTCTAGTTCATTTACTATTATAAATATTTGTCTACATTGATAAACAAATTAACTATATAACCTACAACATTGGAGTAACACGTCAAGTATAACAATTAAAGGCTTAAATTAATTTTAAAACGGAATAGACGCGTAAATAGTAGGTACACAAATTTATTTTTCTACTGTCTGTACTATGATAACAATTTTAAATGTTGGTTCGCCCGCGATATTTAATAAATGTCCAATATTCAACAAAAATTCGCAGACAAGCATGTTCACGAGTGTTAAGCGAAACGATGGGTACATAGTATTTACCATACCTATGTCAAAAGAAGATAACAAAACCCAGTCTGCAAGCGTGAGCCAATTAAATTTTAATATATTTTGGCTATCGTACAGCACTGCTCGAGCTTGCTCAAAAGTTTTACTCTGGTGTAGGAGTGATTGCCGGACGAACGATTGCCCAGGGACACAGTACGCGCGTTAGCCAGTCATGCGGCTGCTGATCAGTCCGGGTCTGCCGTTCCAAAAAAACCCGTAACCTCCTTATTACATCACAAAAATACACACACTTTTTATCAATTTGATTTTTGATCGAAATTTCAACCGTACCGCAGTGCATATCAAAAAGCCGTTTGTTTTTTGACTCACCAATCCACAATGGGTCGTTTCGCGTGGCGCGGCTACTTGGTCGTGTTCGTGTTCGCGATGATGGCATTCCAACAGCGAGCGACCGCTAAAAAAGACTTGCCCACAAGCGGATCGGCGGCTCCCGCGACCGAAACACCACCCTCCCCTTACCGAGGGACAAAATCGAACCCCGAACCGGTGATCGAAGAAGTGACTGCCAAGCAACTGGAAAAAGTACTCAACGAAAAGGATTACGTAGCAGTGTTTTGGTGTAAGTACTATGAATGTTGTGTGTTCGTAGAAGAACTGATTCCCTTAAACAGTAAAAAGCAGATACTTAACTAATTCAACGAAAAAAACGTTTTTATATGATATTATAATTAACACGTATGGATAATTTAGTTTATTTATCATTAGTTTGTATAATTCTGTTGTACGTGAATCAAACACACGCAAAACAATCGTTAGAAAATATTTTTTTTTACATTCATAGGTCATACCAAACGACGCAGGAAGTTTATGAATATGTAAAAAATTAAAACAGATATAATTTTATAGGTCCTCCGAAATGTTCAAGTATACACGTTGACAACTTAAAGCTATCGTTCGATTGAAAAAGGTTTTGATAGTTAAAAATAAATGCTAAAAATTAATACTTTAAAATTAACCGCCCAGGTACCTTATTATAACTACCTAGTACCTATATTGATGAAAGCATTACAGCAATAATTGTTAAATTAAACGATCGGTTTAAATATAGAAGACCTTGGATTAAAAATACAATATTTATTGCAAAAAATGAGCCCACGAATGAGCCCACAATGCCAAATAGTAATATGATATGCACGGAGCGCGTTATTATTAAATAAAAACGATGATTTATGAAAGTTAATGAAGATGTTTGAAAAACGCGCACTGATTTTATATTTTGGATTGATGTAGGAAAAAGTTAAATACTCTAACCACCTACATAGATCAGTGCACCAGAGAATAGCGCGAGCATGCGGCGCATACAACATCACTAGGTCATCCAGAGTTATTATGTCTATTTTTATTAATAGTCTCCTCGCCGTTAGACTGTTCTCATAGGATTTTTGCTGTTTTGAACTGTTAATATCTATAATTTCGGCACACGTCTACATTTTTGAAAATAAAAGCTTCGGTCGACCGCTGGCAGAGTGTCGGAATTGTTTGAGTTCTGACCTTTGTAAAGAAAGTATTTTTTTTTTTTTTCTAATGGAGAAGAGAGAGAAATTATTTGGATTGTAAAACAGTCGACGGCCGTGGTGGTATTATTATGGACACACTATCCCCCGACGGCCGTTGACGATTTAGCGGAGACCGGACGCCGAGTATAATAATAGCACACGGCTGACTCCATCTGAGGTAGTACAGCCCGTCTCGTTTCGTTTCTCTCGAGCTGACACCGCACAGCCAAGCATTATCTTAACATCTGCTTTTGATAAAGCAGAGTAATAGTAAAAAAAAAAACCCCGTTTAGATTCACTTTATCACAGCATTAACCGAAACAAACGAATCCGGATTACTTACCGTAATCACTAATCGAATAGTACAATCTAAATAATAAATTATACATGAACATTTAAATGTTCAACAATTAACTTTTTTTTCTACGTCAACGCCAAACGGGTATACCTACGCTGTACAATGGGTTACATTGCGATAAATAAAATCGAATGTAAAATATTATTATTGTTCATTGTAATAACTAGAGTACGACATAAAACTTATTAAGTACTAACAAGGATCATTGTCCCCATTAAATCATCACAGTGAACACATGACATCTATAATGATTTACAACACATAATAAATAAATAAGAAATACAGAATAATAATTCGTCAACCTTAAAACGATAAATTATGTTGTTAGTTTAAAACCAATATGTTGACTGTTGCTAAATTATTATAAATTAAAAAAAATAATATTATCGTCTCATGTATTATTTTAAACATTTTGTTCAACACTTATAATTTTTGTGTTTTTACTACAAGTAATAAAGTAAAAATGAAATAAAGAATGTGCAACTATAAAAAAGAATATACAAATTAACTTCAATATGAAATTATCGTTTTTTTATTATTGAATGGATAACTAATTGATTTTCTTAGTAGGGAGTATAACATACAAATAGTCTTTTAAAGTATAAATAAAAGTACTCGTATTTTTGAAAGGAAATTCGTCGGTTTTTTTGTTTTAGATTAATCGAGTAATTGATTTTTTTTTTAGATACCAGGAGTTGTCTCACGTGTGATAAAGTATTAGAGGAACTCGAACAAATCGACGATGACACGGACTCATTTGGGGTTGACTTTGTTAAAATCAATGACAAACGACTCGCTAAACATTATGGAATTAAAACGTTCCCTGCACTCACGTACTTCCGCGAGAAAGAACCAATTATTTATGAAGGTTAGTGAGTTGGGCCATATAGTTATGAACTTTACTAAATAAGCTGTTTTATAAATTATTAATTTTATAGGAGATTTAATGGACGAAGATGCAGTGTTAGAATTCTTGACCAGCTTAGAAGCCCTAGATTTACCAGATCGTATTGAAGAGGTTAATACTAAGATATTAAAAAAAATTATTGAAGACACTGATTATGTTGCTGTTTTGTTTTGTAAGTAATAATTATACGTTTAGAGTCTTAGGCACTGAACTCAATATATGGAACGCGTATAGCCTATAATGGGCTGCTTATGAAAATGTACACTAGTTATAGGAGGCTGCCATTTTGCAAACAGTTATACCTAACATTTGTCAATATGTAACATGGAAAAGTAACGTAGCCTTTTCAATTTCTATGAAATTGATACACAAAATGGCTGCATCCCAGGTCAGAACATTTTTTTATTTGAATACGAGTTCCGTATATTGAGTTCAGTGGTCTTAGGTTATAAACAGTGGCGTACACAGTGCGCACAGATAAAGGGAGATGGGTTTTTTATGAGTATACTATTAAAAAGTTATCCTCCGAACACCAACAATGTTATCATGATCCCCCCCCTCCTCATCCCATAAAAAACGTATGTGGTGCCACTGATATTGAAACATAAAAAAAATATACACTATTTGAATATTAACTGAAATAAACTTTATTAAATTTACTGTTAACGTTTAACTATTATGTATGTATTGTGTTGTGTAATGACTTAGGTCCTGAACGGTCTCAATGCACATTAAAAGATATTCGTAAGTGATACGGTTGTAACCTTGACATCGGCTATATATCATCTCTATATTACCTATTAGAAGTGTATAACCTTCCATGACCATATCCTAGCATAACCCGTCATTTATGTTGACTAGCAAAATTTTTAATGATTGTTTTCTTTGCGTATGAACCTTTGTTTTAGACAAATCTGGTTGTAAAAAATGTGCTAAAGCACTACAAGAGTTGGAAAATATTGACGACGAAGCCGACCAATTGGGCATTGGTTTTGTAAAAATACACGATGCCGGCTTAGCGGATGAATACAACTTAGGAGAATTGCCCAAGTTGGTCTATTACCGTCATCAAATACCGATTGTTTATGAACGTCAGTGGTTTGTTTAATGACAAGCAATAATTATCGCTTAAATCTTATACACGTTTCACTGAGATTTTTAATGTATTCGATAATCCAATTTCAGACGAATTGACCCGAGAAGAAGACGTTCTTGAGTGGTTAGTGCAAAATAAATCCACCGGAGACGAAGAAGACATTATTGAAGACGTATCGGCGAAAACCTTGGACACCCTTATAGGATCCGTCGACAACCTCGTGGTACTTTTTTGTATGTATCGTGTACGGATAAAACTGTAAAGTAAACAAAAAATAAATTAAAAGAACCACTTTTAGATGATAACGACGACGAGGACTCGTTGAGAGTTTTAAACGAAATGGAAAAGATCGACGACGACTGCGATCGCCATGGGATACAGTTTGTTAAAATCGAAGACCCGATGGCTGCTTTGTCATTCGGTTTGAAATCCGTGCCTGCCGTGGTTTACTTTGAGAAACAGATACCGAACATTTACGACGGCGACATCGAAAACGAAGACGAATTACTACAATGGCTCATCGAACAGTTGCAAAAAGACGAAATTGAAGACATCACAAACGAAATGATGGACCGTCTCATAAAGGAGGGAAAGAATATCGCCGTGCTCTTTTGTAAGAAAAATTATAATGTACCGTAACGGCATAACAATGGATTCGTATGTCCCTTTCAGACGACAACAACGATAAGAAGTCACAAAAAGCTTTAAACGAACTCGAGAATATTGACGACGAATGCGATGCACTGGGAATAGCATTTGTTAAAATTGACGACGAAGAGGAAGCTCAGCTTTACGGAATAGAAACCATCCCGTCACTGTTGTACTTTGAGAATGGAGTACCAACCCTTTACAGCGGTAATCCAATAGACTAAATGATGTTAAATACTAGCGAAATAATACATTTCTAAGATAATAATACCTTTGTGTAAATAAAAACTTACAGGAAATTTGGAAGACGAAGATAAGGTGTTGGAATGGCTTAGCTATCAGGCAAAACACGATGAAATCGAAGACGTTACCGACGAGATGCTTGATATTCTCATTAGTAAATTGTCCAATGTGGCTGTGCTATTTTGTAAGTCACGCGCGTTTAAAATAATACCTTACGTTATAAGTTTTAACATTACACGCGTTGGTTTCAGACGATAAAAACCAAAAGAAAAGCCAGAAGGTTTTGACGGAATTGGAGAACATTGACGACGAATGTGATCAGAGTGGAATAGCATTCGTTAAGATCAATAATCTAGACGAAGCCCGCGAATACGGTATAACTACCGTACCAAAACTATTGTACTTTGAAAAAAGAATACCGCACATTTATAACGGCGATTTACTCAAAGAAGAAGAAGTCTTGAGTTGGTTGATACATCAAAAGAGACACTCGGAAATACCAGAAGTCACTGATGAAATCGTTGATAAACTTATCGAGTCCGAACCGTACTTGGCAGTACTATTTTGTAAGTAATGACAATTATGATATTAGTAGATCAATATAGTACTTACCTTTTATTATGTATGTGGTTTTTGTAGACGACAAGGATGATAAGGAAGACATTCGTGTGTTAAACGAATTGGAGAATATCGACGATAAATTAGAGAAAGAAGGTATTGTGATTGTGAGGTTGGATGATGATGCAGAAGCGAAGGAATACGGAATTGATCATTTACCAACTTTAGTTTACTTTGAAAATAAAATACCCGCGATTTACGAAGGTAAAATATGGTTACACTCGAATTCAATAACAATAGTAGGTATAAAAATAGTTTAACCAATTCGCAGGCGATCTCATCAATGAGGACGAAGTACTTAAATGGCTTATAGAGCAAAAGAATACTGCCACTATTGAAGAAGTTACAGACGAGATACTCAAAAATTTAATAGAAGAACACGAATACGTTTTGGTATACTTTAGTGAGTAAACTTTGTTTTTTTTTAAACTACGTTTTATTTTAAATTATAACGTTGACGGGTATAATTGATTTATTACGAAGGTGGCAGATGCGAAGAAGGAGAAGAATGCGACAATATTTTAGACGGGTTTGAAAACATTGACGACGAGTTGGACGAAACGGGAATAGTTTTTGTAACTACCGAAGACGCGTCTATTGCCAGAGAATACGGGCTTAGAACATTCCCTTCGCTAGTTTTCTTTAGAAATAAAGAACCTCTTGTATACTCGGGAGATTTAGAAGACGAAGACGAGGTTTTGACATGGTTGCTCGATGAAGAGACGCTTAAGGTACCCGGACGTATTGAAGAAGTCAATACGAAAATGTTGGATAAGATATTAAACGAAAAGAAGTTCGTCGTAGTATTTTTCTGTAAGACATTTTGAAACAAAACTCTGACAAATTGCTTAAATATCGAAACAAATACGTCCATGTTGTTTTTAGATAAAGAAGGGGACAAAAAGAGTCAAAAAATCATAGCGGAATTGGAAAATATTGATGACGAATGTGAAGAGAAAAATATCCAATTCCTTAAAACTTCAGACGGAGGAATCCAAAAAGAGTACGATTTGCCTGGTCTCCCAACTTTAATATTTTACAGAAACAAATTCCGAAAAATTTACACTGGTATATTTTAAATTTTTATTGTATAACTTATACTGTGGATTATACTTGAGTACAAATACATGATTGTTGTCAGGTGATTTGATGCACGAAGAAGCAATTTTAGAATGGGTACTCGATTTACATGAGTCTGAACCAGATTTCATTGAGAGTGTGGATAGGAAAACATTACAAACTTTAATTAACGATGTTGAACATTTAGCAGTCTTCTTCTGTAAGTATTAGTATTAGAAATTATGATTACACGGACATTAATATACATGTGTACCGGCAAGATGTGTAAATAATGTAAATACAATAGGTACTCCACTCAAGCTTCAGTAATAAATTACTTATTTTACTCAAAAAAATTGTAACCCTACACTTCTTCCTTAGCGTATTTACGTTTTATCTATTGCATAGGGTTTAACTTCTGCAAAATGTACATAAATATTTTAAAATAATTATCGAATTAAAAGTATAACGACTCTTATTTGATGCAATGCAATATTAGAAGGAATATCTTTTTTTTTTTAATGTTTGTATTTTTAATTTGTATAATAGATGATGATAAATGTGAATCCTGCCCCAGTATACTGGACGAACTAGAAACTATCGATGACGACACGGACAAAGAGGGAATACAATTTGTCAAGTCGACAGATTCGAAATTGGCATCAGAAATCGGTATTTTTAGTTTCCCCGCATTGGTTTATTATGAAACTAGCGTTCCAATCATGTATGACGGTAAGTGAAAATTATTTAACATATATTTTTACCAAAATGTTTAAACCCCAAGATTATTATGTATCTTACTTTATTCGAATAAAAAAACAAGAAGTAATAAAATGTTACATTATTGAAAAAAAAAATCACAATTTATTAAATATATGTAATTTTTAAAATGAATAAAAGTAACATTTCACGCTGTCAATTTTTCTATGCAATGGTAAAATGTATACATACGAGTACATTTTATAAAAAAAATACCGCCATTATATTATGTAATATGAGGTCATTTTATTAAATGTATTATTATTTTAGGTAATAAGATCATTATTAAAATGTAAAAATATTCTTATTTGCTTTATAAAGTATTTATGTGTTAGAGGTATTAATTTGTGTAAACAATTTTAACTGAACTATATTATGTTATTCATTATAAGTGTCAGATATTATGATATTAAACATTATATTGTACTTAGGTAACCTTAAGAACAGCAGAAAAGTATTAAGTTGGCTAATAGATCAAAAAAGTAAGCAATGCGTGTAATTATGTGTAAATGAAATAATAACGTTTATAAATTTAACGGAATGTGAACCCAATATTTATTGACTTGTATAATATCCAGGTGGCAAAAAAAAATATCAGGACTCCAAACCGTCTAAATTGCAAAAAATAGAGCACACAGGTACTTGAATTTCAAAAACTTAATTTATTTCAGCATAGAAGGGCGCGTGCTTATAATCTGAATTAGATATGACAAATTTCTAAAAATAAAAGCAGACTGGTACAGTAGCTAATTTTATCACACGGATATTTTTGACGTAGTTTCTCTTCTTATAAAATATATCAGACGCCCCGTTTTTCCGAATAATGATTTTCAGCGTACACGCTACTCTTATTAAGTATTTTATTTTGAAAGCTTAAATGTATGATATATTTGATTAATCCATTATCCATTATGTTATTTTTACAATAATAATAAAAAATCGTTGACGCTGAAGAACAATAGGAAGGTTCGGGAAATGTAGTCAGATTTTAATGCTAAAGCATTTAAACTATATTTTATAGTCAACTATTTAAAAAATTTAGGTATCTTGATTTTATTAATAATTTTTATGAAAACGTTCGTGAACCTGTACATTATATTAGTTAATACCAAAAACTTCAAGACTCATTCCCAATCATAAATAGTGTTACTGGGTTTATAAACCGTCAAGTTATTATTCATCCGTGACTACTAATATTTGTTATTTAATATGATAGGGCAAACGTTGTCAAATTATAACACTGTATTTAGATTGTTTGTAACAATTGTTTTAATTACTACTAACAGTTTGTCGTCTGCAGCATTTTGATCCACTATCCTCGTTATGATTAAGCTTTTGTACAGCACACACATTTTAAATCTATTAACGTATTATCATTTTCACATTTTACACAAATATTTACTCACACTGACATATTGTAAAAACAAAAGTTCTAATATAATTTGGGTTTTGCTGCAGGCGACAGCTGTTTTTACATCGGCCTGGGAAATGTCAAGAGTACGCCCGCATTTGAACCGTACCAGTGTTGTCCAAAGCCTCAAGTTCAACCCAACAAGCCTAAGTCCACCAAACCAACGGCAAAGGAATCAAAGAACAACGTACCCAAAACAAATGAGAAGATCAAAGGAAACGATAGATCAAAATTGAATGAAAAGAAAAAGGATAAAAGGAATAAGGATAACGGAAAAGGTTCGTGGTGGTGGTAAGCGAAGAACAAAAGGAGAAGAAAATATTTTTCAGGGATGATCACAAATCGTAATAAAAACTATACAAATTATAATATTATATAAAATCTTTGTTTTTTAAATACCTAATATTTCTTTTTCTTATACATTATATTAAAATAAGATTGTGACATATACCTCAACCTTTGAAATTGGCTTATGAAGTTCAACTTATGAACTACAAAAAATTACACGTGTATGATTCTTTTATTCTTCGATTTTCTAATTAATTAGTTAATCCAAAACTTAATAACTATTATACGTTTCTTAATTACACTATTTTTAACAAAATAATAATAATGAATAAAACCATATTAATATTTAGAAAAATATAATATTTAAAAATATGTACTATTAAATTGTAAGTTATGAATTAAAAATTTGTTCAATGATGTTTAACTAAGCATTTTTATGTATTTATTATAGTCAAGAAATTATTTATTGTATATCTAAAGCTTTAAGCAAAATCAGATGCGTAAAACCCCAGCTAATAAGAAATTGCAATTAATATTAGATATAACTAAATATTTTGCAACCTAGTTGGTATTTTTTGTACCTCTTTAATAACATTAAAACATGTTTATTTATATAAAATATATAATTCAATTAAATTGCTCATTATTTTTAGTATTAGATATATTTAATACATTTGATTAAACTTGAATATCATAATTTATTATTTTCAGAGTGATTTTTTTATTTATTAATATTGTAATTTGTATAAAAAAAAATTAAAGGCTGTTAATTTATCCCCATGTAAATAATTTCATGTGTTTTTCTGATTTTGCTCATGTAGTGTAAATTAGACAATTTAGATTTGCTTCCATTTCTGTAAAATTTAACTTAAAAATCTTAACAATGTTTATTTATTTTCATGCATAAATCGACCACAGCTATAATGTTAAGTGTTTATTATAATTAATTGTTATAATTTAAGTTTTACCAATCAATTATGTGTACAAATATTGTATTAATAAAACGATTATTTCTGTTTTTGAACATTACTTACATACGGCTAAATTATACGCACCTTAAAAATTACTTTTTTTTATCGAACAAGAAAATGAAATAATAATATGAGAGTTCGGCCTAATTCATATTTATTCGGGTCCATTTAAATCAGTTGAGAAGCACAATTAAAACCTTGACAGCTTTAGCATCATTTGATATTTCACCAAACTGTAATGTTGCTTTTATTTGCTGGCTATTTAAGGGAATATCGCTGATGAAACGGAAGTATTGCGATGGATGATAAGACAGAAGAACGACGAAAGTATTGAACACGTCGATAGAACACAGTTGTTCGATTATATTGACAATCAAGATTTTTTAGCAGTCGTATGGTGTAAGTAAATTGTATGGTGTAAAAATTGCTATCCTCAGGTGTCCATAGTATTTAATGTAAAAAACGATTAGTTACCGAGGGCGATCCAAAAGTACCTAGGGTTTTGAGACATATTGAGTTAATCGACGACGAAGCCGCTGAATACGGTATAAAAGTGGTGAAATGCAGCGATAGATTAATGGCGAAGAAGCACGGATTTCGCAGTCCACCTGGCATTACTTACTTCAGAAAAGCTAAGTACATCAACTATGATGGTAAGTAATCGGGTAACTTATAAATGTATTACATCGGTTGGGAGTATATTCGAACCGAATGTAATTTGTGTGAGTTTGTTTGCACAGGTGACATAGACGACGATGAAGAAATTTTGGATTGGTTAACCGATCCTTCAAACATGGAACTTACGGAACACATAGAAAAAGTTAACAGGAAAATGTTTTCGAAGATCAGACAGACGTCGGAAAACGTTGCCGTGTTCTTTTGTGAGACTTATTAGATATATTGAAATATATATGACAATAATACAAATATATAACCGACGCACTTGCGCTATTAATTTTAGATAGCGACGATTGCAAACAATGTAAACAAGTATTGATGGAAATCGAACACATCGACGACGAAGCAGACGCGGCCGGCATAGACTTTGTAAAAATCGACGACAAAAAATTAGCTAAAGAATGTGGAGTGTTCGCTTTACCGGCAATAGTTTTCTTCAAACTAGGTTCAAAGGAGCCTACCATATATGCAGGTAGTTAACAAGTGTTAGGTTTTCGTACGAGTGCTCTGTGAGACAATATTATAAAAGTCTCGGCTGGGATAGTGTGGACGAGGCCTGATCCTGTTCTTATTTCCTATAAGTTATAATGTATTAAAGGGGTAATTTGTGATGCTAAAGATTCCGAGTTCCAACACAAAGGTCATTTTTGATGATTGACTGATAAAAATCATTTAACAGAGCCTATGAATTATTGGGCATGTTAGCGCTCCCTCTCGGTTACACCAATCGGTTTAGTAAGGTTACAAAATACAAAAAAATAGGTATATTAAACGCTAATATTTCGGATTGCAGGCAACTTGTACGAAGAAGCGGACATACTGAATTGGCTACTTATCCAAAAGAATCCTCACGGTGAAATAATCGAAGAAATGGAAGGAATGGAATTGAGGAGCGCGGTAGCGACATCGGAATCCATCGCAGTATTTTTCTGTGAGCTCAACAATTTATACTTTACAAACCGCTTGTCTTGACCGATTCGTGTTTAAAAATTTTAAAAATTTGTAATATCGTGTAATGGTGACAAATCTGTACCGCAGAGGTCAAATAACGCAAATCACAAAAAGCAAATTTTATAGGGGAGACAAAACAAAAATAAATAAGTTAGGCACTATCATAAATTGACTTACGATAGTATACCACTTGCTATCAATGCATTTATGGAACATAGGACACGAGTTTAAATACCTCTAAAAAGATTATTAAATGAATATTTTGATTATGAACATATAATTTTTTTTTTTCAATTTGGACTTGCGATACTTGACCTGACCTGTGTTGTATAGAAATATGAGTGTGTTATCCGGCATTTAGGGAATGGCACGTTGTGCGAACGCTGTAAGGCGTCCAACACAAAAGCGTTCCGTAGACAGCATAAGTCGCAACAGCCGAACGGAGGCAAAAGCGATGGACATAAAAAGGAAGCAAAACCGGAAGTTGTGACGGCATCAACCGTTGTCAATGATGCATTTACTAACGATAACGATGTCAATAATAACCATGATAATGGTGATAATAACGATGATAATGTTTCACATGATGACTTGGACGCAGAAGTGAAAAACAATAATGGTATCTCTGTCCAAAAGGAAAAAACAATTGAATCTTTGGTTTTTTTCAATACGCACAAACGACTGCGAAATTATGGCTTTTTATTTCTTATGGTGCACTAAATGAATATTGCATGTATGCACATTTTTTTTTAGAAGCTTCCATCTTTTAAATCAAAGTTTTTACAAAAAAAATTATAAATACCTACCACTATTGTAAATACGCTTTCGAAGATATTTAAGAAACAGCGTCACTGGTGAAAAAAAGTCCAATTACGAGTTCTTATCACAATTTAAAAACAATAGTATTGCTTTGTGTTTTATTTAAATATTTGAAACCAAGTTTTGCCCACGGTCTAGAAGCCAAAAACTTATATTTTGGTTCTCGATGTCGCGGTTTGAGTCTAGTGCGTCAGCAAGTGATTTCCTGCTAAGTACCGTCTATCGTTAATCTCATTAAAAATCTAATGAGCATTCCGGACATAATATGACTCACTTTAAACAAGGCTTACATTGTATAAAATTGTCTATCACCTATAAACCTTAACACTCCGCATTTAATTATGTCAGTCGGGTAGATTACATTTTACAATTTTAATAAGATTTACAAATACTTAAGACCCAGGTGTTATAGCCTGCTTATTTCTCCATACATTTACTATTAGGAAAAATAAATTTACAATGATCAAAACTATTGAACGAACATGCCTAAAAACACTGGCGCTTTTTTGCCTTTACTTAGCCACGCTTTATCTTTAAATACATTTAATGTATCGTTACATAGTTAACAAGAGCTTTTTTTTCTTTTATTTTTAGTAAGCATGATACCTACTCTGTAGTATGTTTTCCTGTTATTTTTAATCAAATCAAATGTATTATAATTATGACGTTATTTCTGTAAATACATCTTAATTCTTACAAAATATATTTCATTGGATCATGAAAATAACTTATAACGCCATGTTTTATTGCAGATAATGAAGATGAATGTGAACAGTGTACGAGCGTTTTGGAAGAACTGGAAAATATCGACGACGACTGTGAACGACACGGGATAACATTTATAAAAACTCAAGTAAACATTTAAACAACTGACTAATCTAATTTAATTTATTATTTTTTTTTTTTACCCGATAGGACGTGGACGCAACCGAATTTTATGGAGTAACAAAATTGCCTGCTTTAGTTTATTTCGAACACGGAGTACCGAATCTGTTTGGAGGTTGGTAATATTAATATTTTCGATCGTAGAATCGTGACTAGTGTTGACATATTTTAACACCTATTAAGGCGATTTGAAAGAAGAGGAAGAAGTCCTACAATGGCTCATTACACAAAAGACCGAGGAACGAATCGAATTGGTCACCCGATCGATGTTGGAATCACTCATTGAAGAAACTCAATACTTGGCTGTATACTTTTGTAAGTTCGGTTAAGTTAATAAAATATACTATTAGAAAACAGCATCAAAAATACAAAGCAACAATAACTCAAAAAATACTTCCCACAACAAATGCGTTCTCAAGGGGAGGGACGAAAGAGATAGTCACCACCTCTCCTCTTATAGCTTTTAAAAATCTAAATTCTCAAAATAAAAATAATGGGTCTTGAAGATTTCATTATCGAAACTCTGATCGAATGACTCTAGAGGACATTTTCAACCGAAAATGTGATCTAAATATTTTTCGAATTCATAGAAATTTCCTATTTTACGATTTTCTTTAAATTATCCGACCTTACATTAGAGTATTGTTTAAAATTAAGAAACTATTGATTCTAGAATAAATTTTACCTTATCAATTAAAACAACATCAGAATTCGAAATATTCTCCGGTAAAAAAAATCAAACAAGTAAGATAGCTTTTAAATAATTTTGAAACCGAAAATTAGGCAACTCCCACTTAGTAGTAAAATCACTAATGAACGTAAAAAAAATCACTGGAACTGCTATACAACAATCATTAACTAGAAACAATAATGGCCAATGATTTAGTGGATCCCTTTAATATGTTTAAACATATTGGATGTACTAGTTAAATCTTGGACGTAGATTACTTAGGTCTTAGTTACTTAAGAGGGCGTCACACCGGTGATTTTCAGTGGTAAAAACATGTTTAAGCAGACTGAAAATAACTCGCTTAATTTTGGTTTTAGAGTAAAAGCACCCATTATAAAATTAAAAAAGAACAATATACCGGAGGGCACCACGGTGCGTTTTTAAAAAAAAAAAATCATTTTTTGATAAGTTACAGTCATTTAAAAATGTTAAAATAGTCGTTATTTCTAAACTATGTATTGAGCGTTATACTTGGAATAATGAAAAAAACGTACCGTTTGGCCCTCCGGAATATTGTTCTCTTTTAATTTTATAATGGGTGCTTTTACTCTAAAACCAAAATTAATCGAGTTATTTATAGTCTGCTTAAACATGTAGAGATGATAAAACATTTTTAAATCGCTTTCAAGGATGCTGTGATAGTCCAAAAAATAAATTAACTACCAAAATAGAGTCCTAGTTTTTGAACTAATAATTACACATTACAGTTTAACCTTTAAATTAAGATTTTGTAAAAAATTGCCTATAGTTTGGCATTTTAAATAATAAATATATATTTTATGAAAAAAGACAAACAGGCTTGTCACATCTGCGACCAAATTCTCGACGATTTAGAACGAGTCGACGACGAATGCGACTTGTATGGTATACACATGGTGAAAATTCAAGATCCCCAATTAGCTAAGAGGTACTCAATCAAAACTTTTCCGGCGTTGGTATACTTTAGAAACGGAAATCCTTTATTATACGAAGGTTAGATTGTACAACAACAACATTTAATAAAGGCAGTTTTTTTTTACCGTGTTTATCATACAAAACAGGTGACTTACAAAATGAAGAATCCGTTCTCGAATGGCTAATCGACGACGACAATCGTGAACTTGCCGACGAAATCGAAGAGGTTAACAGTCGTATGCTAGAAAGACTTTTGGACGAGTCGTTGCTTCTAGCGGTTTTTTTCTGTAAATGTTCAACGCCACCTCTGACTATATACTTTGGGTAAAACAAGTGCAATTTTAAAACGTTTCCAGATGAAGAAAACTGCGAAGACTGTGGCGATATTTTAGAAAATTTGGAAATTATTGACGGCGAAGCTGATTTATTCGGTATAGACATGGTGAAAATATCCGACCCCGACGCCGCTGCTAAGTATAGTATATTAAGTTTACCTGCTTTGGCGTACTTTAGAAAGAGGGTGCCTCAAATATATGACGGTAATTGTTTGTTCGTTTATCCTATAATCAAATGCTGACTTATAGGATCATGCGTGTTTTTTTAGGCGATCTGACCGACGAAGATAAGGTGCTAACTTGGCTGACTTCGCAGGACGTGTTTGAGATTAAAAACGAAATCGATGAAGTAAACAAAAAGATGCTTACTAAATTGTTAAACGAAAACGAATTCGTCGCCGTTTTCTTTTGTAAGTCTAATACCTGCACCGCAAATATACTTATTTGCAATATTTTCCAATCGAATCAACCGTGCTTTAGCTATTTAAAAGAAAACATTTCATAATTCCATCAATTATACACTTGAGAATCTAGAAATAACAATACAAAGAACACGTGGAACATAATATGTTATATTAATACATTACTTACCACTATTGACGATCTTATAATCAATATTAGTTGAGAACCATTTTTATTGTACGCGGTAAATTAAACAATAACGGTTATTTTCGATTATACAGACCATATTATTATTAGTACGTATTTTTGTAACCCATTAACACGTGACTAATTTTAATTTGTTCGTTTAGACGAGAACGACATGGCAGAAAGTTCAGAAGTATTGACTAGACTGGAGAATATCGACGACGAGACCACAACTATGGACATAACATTTGTGAAAATGGCAGATGCCCGTTATGCGCGCAAATGGGGAGTTACCAAACTACCGACAATAGTCTACTTCCGAAATAAATTCCCTAGCATTTACAGAGGTATACACCTAAAAGAACATTGCCCATTGATTCCTTTGGAAGGAAACGGTGCAGCTGTATAACGCCTAGATCAGAATATTTAAGTTTAGTTTTTAGCAAGTATGAAAGAGAAAAGAAATCGTCTTGAATTGACCAACGAGTGATAAATAAAACCGAAATATAGTAGTCAATTAGCCATGTTTAAGCTCGGTTTTGCACCAAAATATATTTTTGAAAAATATGTAATGTCATAATATAGTAGACAGACAAGGGGAGAAGAGACGCATAATATGTAATATTATAGTATGTTGTAAAGCTATCAATAATTAACATTTGAGAGTTATGTCTTATACTAAAACAAACTAAAATAAAAGATGACAGATAAGATGAATTATTAGACTATTGAAGAAAATGAACAAATACGAATTGACTCAACCAGTGTATAACTAAAAGGGAAACGCGGTAGTATGATGTGTAGGAATACATTTAGAGAGACACGTCGAATAAATCTAGCATACAGATTTTGCACTAAGTGGATCGCAGTAGTGGCATATATTATCCATTATTTTGTATTATTTATAGACAAGTTTATGAAAAGTGTAATCAAGTGTGACCTTCAGTTTTTAAATTTAGATCAAACTTTGAGTTTGTGTGTTGATAAATATTTTATAGGTAATGAGGGGCGTAACTAGTCAGGTAAAACCTAGTAAAACCCAATGAGGGGTCACATTTTGAAGGCATCTCGTCGTTATTATTGGCTCGAAATGCCTGAACTCTAAAATAAACTTATACTATTTTTGGCCTTTGTTTAAATAAATATTTAAAACAATTATAATACACATGTCACAGGACGTTTGGATTCCGAACTGGAGGTGTTGGATTGGCTGAAGAAAACTCGTTATCGCGAACCCGAACTTAACCTGTTCATGTACGTGATGTTGACGATATCGCTGGCGTTTGTCTTGTACACGATTTTGTTGGTGTATGGTTTCAAAAAAATCACTTCCACACAAGTCAAACCCACGTGAGGAGAACTCTGACTATAGCCACAAGTGCGTTCAAATACCAAAGACAATACTTCTATTCTTGAAAAAATTTGACACGATTTTATCAAATTTAAGTAAAAAACTTGACAGTAACTGAATACATAATAATTTAAGACAATATAATTAATTCCACATTTCGTTGTAATTGTTCTTACACTAAAAGACCAACAAATTATGCAAACGTTTAACTTGTAAAGTTGTTTTATGATTTTACCAACGCATAAAGTCATTTTATAATGTATATTATTTTTAATAAAAAAAAAAAAAATACCTAGTGAAATTTGTAAAAAAATTTACCGCATTTTTTTTATTAAATTAGGCAAAATAAAATTATTTAAGTTAATGCTTATATAAAATATATGTAAAATATATTATACGTAAAAAAAGTGTCTTTATTTATTTGGTTTTCTAATTGTAACGGCAAATAACAAAATAAGAAAATACGGTTATCAACAACAGTTACAAACGACAATAAAATAATCTTACCTATAGAAATTCATCATTACTTTCAATAATTTATAATCATAACTGTTTGTAAAAACTTAAACAAGTAAAACATACTTGATTATATGTTTATTATTTAAATATTCTAATTAAATTGACTGTACAAAAAAAAAACATTTTGCTGATAATACAATAAAAGGTATCAAATTGAACAAAAATATATATTGTACACGCACAGATATCACTTTTCCAGTAAATACTCAATCAGTTGAAATTGAATAATGAATTATTATTAAATATATTATAATTTGTAAACAATATCATATACATTATAACAAGATATTGCATTTTTTTTTTTAAATACATCATTATAATATTAATGTTTAACAAGTCATTACAATAGTCAATAAGAACCTATTAACAAAATAAAAAAATTATATGAATATAAAAAAAAAATATACACTATGCTTAAGAAATCTACTTCTTTTTCGTTCTTAAATTATTGAACACATTAGTTACTCATCATATTTGTTCATAAAAATTGTAATATTTAAAATCATTTTTAACACAAGTACTAAATTGTCATTTAAAGATTTTACAAAACAATAAAAAGGTCATTTAGAACTCTATAACGATCAGTCACTGCTCTTATTGTAATTATTATTATAGTCTCTGTGCTTTTTTTTTCACAAATCATTTTTTAGTCAATATTTAAATAAGTTTTCATACAAAATTTAACATTAAATATAAGATATAAAAGTTTAATAATTAATATAGGGAAGTAGAGGTTTTAATAATATATACCATTAAACAATTATTTAATTTTCATTGAAACTAATTGATAATTGTAGAACAATAGTTTATTCAGATCATTAAATTATATACCAACTAAAAAATACTTATAAAAAGTCTATACAAAAATTTAAAACAAGAATTAAAACCTAATTTTATTTTTTATAATTTATATTTAATAGAACAATTTAAAGACATACCGTAAATAAACAATAAAATTTACAGTACGGTAAAAAAGTCTGGGGAAAAAAATATTCGAAGACAAATGCTTTGAAAAAGGTCAGATAATATGGCTGGTTGGCAGGACATCGAAAGCTGGACAAAAGATTCGAATGTAATTTTATCGATCGAAAAAATTGGATAGTTTTTGTATAATATAATATATTATATGCGGACTTAATAATAACGTATACTTTAAATTTATGCCATCTGGACATTTCATAAGGCTTTTTTTTAACTGGAAATTTTGTCCTCAGAATTTTTGTCTGGGATTCAGTTAGCTTATTAAAATTGATAACAGTCAATAAAATCATAGATTAACTCTAATACAGATACAATGGTAGGTAATGTAACAATCTGCAGTTGAATAACTTAGTGTTTTCAATGGAAAAATAGTTTTCTCTTATGAAATCAAACAAAAGAGTTTAAAGTCTAATGTAAAGTGCTAGTTTATACATATATATATATATATATATATATAACACATACATTTACTTATAACAGTTTAAGATACAATGACATTTGTTTTTCTATAAAACTAAAAAGATGCTTATTTATTCCATATGAGATCTTAGCACAGTAAAAATACTCTTAATTAAATCGTTAATATTGTTCTTGATTATTTTAAGAGTTTGGTAACAAAAAAAACAGTGATAGAACTGTAATAATAATATTAATAGAAACTGGAAGATATCAAATGACATAAAAAATAAATATCTTAGATGCAAAAAAGTTTAACTTTGTGTTACTAATGTTTTACTTTTTTTAAATATTGAACTATAATAACTAATAATTTTGAAGATCCTTACTTATAAATGATCTTATTTATAATATAATGATCTTAATTGAATATAAATTCTAATTTCATAATATTTTTAAAAACTGTGTTTTATGTTTTGAAACATACAATTTAATCTATGATACTATTTCTTAAGATAGTGTTTTATTGCTAAAATGTCCAATGAAAAATTCTCATTATTTTAATTATATTTCTTAAAAGTTATTGTAACGCAAAATATTATATAATATAAAATAACAGAACTACAATAATGAAAAGTGCTTAAATGATATTGAAGTATATTTTTTTTATGTTAAGAAAAATTGTTTTGTACTCTACCAATTTCATGAGGTATAATCATTATTATTCAATATACTTTTATACATTAAATTCTACAAAAGTACATTGTCGTAAATTAAAATTACTTGTTAATTTAAAAGAATTATGGAAAAATTCTATTTTGTATAAATAAACCTTTGTGATGTAAATTTCTAAGATTTTTGGTAAGTACTAGTGATGTATTATTTTTAAATTGGTCAAAAAGAAAAAACTTGTAGTTTTACATCGTTTTGCAGAATTTAATTAACAAAATAATAAACTAATAATTATAATTTCATGTTACTTATGTTAAAAATATTAAACATACAGTATAAAGGACAGACATCTTGTTATAATAATTTACATTATTCCTGGACGGATAGTTACTAATAAAAAAAATAAGTTAATAAAATATGAATGGTCATTGTGTATGAGTAACACTGGACGGAACCGTTACATCATATGGAAAACTCTTACACGCTAATCATTGGAATCACATTTTGATTGTGATGAAAACAGTAAATCAAAATATTATTTGCCCATGAACAATTAGGTCACAAACCCAAATTAATACATGTAATTTTGTATACTATTAATGTATCTAAATGACTATACATATTATATCGTACATCAAATTCTAAATCAAACCTGAGTTTGCGGTACCGGTTTTTCACTTATTCCCATTGGATGATCTCTCATTGAAGCGGCGCTATTTGTTCTTAAAGTGCTAGCCGACGCCGTTTTCCTGGGAGAAGCGTTTAGTGTTTTGATAGGTGCATCGTGGTATTCATAAATATTACTGACACTACGATTGTCAATACCTTGTTGACTCATTGCCATGGGTTCTTCTCTTACGACCAATACATCACCGTTAAAATAGTGATCTTTTGTTCTAAACAGATAAATCGAAAATTAGTACGCTTTATAAATAGTTCTCAATTGAACTATTAGTTATGACTCACTTTTTTGCATTACACCATAAAATGCACATAATTGCTGTTAGGGCAATCAATAGCATATTAAGACCGGATAATCCCCAAAATGCTACTTGTATCGGAGTTTTAGGCTCCCACCAATACTATTTTAACAGAAGAAATTAGTTTAAAAAGTTCATTTAGGTGATATAAACAAAAATGTATTTACTTCTGTAGTCGGTGGATAGAATGGAACAAGAATACCGATAACTGTCGGCAAGTACTCTGACCAAAAGGCGGACTCCATTTGTCTATAATTTTGTTTTATAGTTGAATTGAAAGTCGTGTTGATATTTAAGTACTTAAGATCTCCTTTCACAGCCATGTCAAAATGTAAACCCAAAATCTGCGTCTGACTAGGGTTTCTATAAAAATAAAATAAATTAGTATTTAAAGAAAGTAATAACTCAATAAGTATATTTCTACCTTAAGCTAGAAATTTTTAATTCATTAAGTGTACTTCTCAGTTATTAGCATTAATTTAAAAAAATACAGATAAGTAGTGCTCTATATAAAAAGCATGTGACAGATTATGTCTCAGATTATTCCCTCTGGTCAAAGATACCCTGATAATAGTTTTAAGACGAGCAAACTTGAAAATCCTCTCAAGGAACTCCCAAGAGATCGGTCACCGTTTTTGTTCACAATACTGGTTAACTTTATATTTCAAAATCAATGTTTATTATACTACTATACATAATTTTAAGAATTTTTGAAATAATAACTTTCAATGGTCATTAATAAATTAAAAATATTCTAAGAAATTTTATTAGTAAATTGCATACCCGTGAGTTGCAAAATCAGTATAAGCTTTCATAAAAAAATGGCTCATGTTGCGATCATTATCTGTCCATTTTCTTTTATCCACAACAGGTATACGTGGGAAAAAATCTGAACAGTAATTTTACAAATCAAATACAAAGATATAATAATATAAATATATTAAATTGAATTCTCACCACTATCCATAAAAGGTGCTCCAGTTAAAAAGTAATATTCAGTATCATGTGAATATAATCTCCATTCTGGTAAAGGAATACTTGTCACAGTAGTATTTAAAACATATAAATAAACTGGAACACCTTCGTTTACAAGTAATTTAGATATTTGGTCATGTGGAGCAACATACAAAAAATCTGATAACATCTATGTAAACAAAAAAAAAATTATTAGAAATTATTACAATTAAAAGTGATAAAAATCATTTTCAAACCCTATCAGCTGATTGTAATTATTTTGTTTATAATTTTTACTTACGTTTATGTACTGAGTTCGTACTGAATCTGTATTATGGGGATCTGGCCAATATGTATATAAATATTTAATCGCTTGATAGACACCCGTAGGATTTAACGTGTAGTTATACTGAAGAACTAGTTCTTTGACTTTATTTTCAAACAATTCTTCACTTACTGTATAAGTTTTATTGTTAACTAAAAATAAATGAGTCATTATTTTTTTACTAATGTCATCTTAAGTGATAAACATATTTTGATGATTCACTAAACTATAAATAAAACTTACCGAGTATATAAGCTGCTTCTTGAGTGGTGACGCCACTCATGTACCTAAGATCTTTATTGAAGTGGCCATACCGGATAGCGTGTTCCACTGACTCATTGACAAAATGCCAATCTGATTGTTGCCAGCCATCATACCAATTATTTTTGGGTACTAAAAATTCATTGTCAATAACTGGTCCCCAAGCGTTGAAACCAATTTGTGGCTAAAAAAATGAACAGTATACAAGTGATATAAATAATTTAGGTTGTTTTTTCTTCTTACCTTAAAATCAGCACCCAGTTCTAAAAAGCTACGTCCTCTTTTTAAACAGTCTACAATTTTCCAAGTAGAATCGATGCTACAACCAATATGTGATGCGTACACTCTAGTTGTATTCAAAGCTCGCCATCTATCTTTAATGAGTGCCCAATCAGCAAGTGCAGAACCACTCTGTAAAATATATACAAATATAATTTCTGTCTGAGAAGAATTAACTTGTTTTTTTACTTACCTGAGCAATTACTTTAGACACCATGAAACTAGTTCTTGGATTAACCATTAACAATCCCGCAGATGCTGCACCCGCATCAGGACCGAATAATGTAATAGACCTACGATCACCATTGAAAAATTCAATATTATCATAGACCCAACGGAGAGCCATAGCCTGATCCATTAATCCATAATTTCCTGGGGAATTCTCATCACAAGTACTCAAGAACCCTAGTAAATTACATAATTAGTATGAAATATAATTTATTACATTCACGTCCCTAAATAAATTACCAAGAGCTCCTAGGCGATAATTGATAGATACAACTACCACATTATAGAAAGCTGCCATCATGTGTCCATGAAATGAATTTGATGAGCCGTGAATAAAGTCTCCGCCGTGTATGTAAAACATAACTGGATATGGCTTAGCAGGTGCAATTCCGGTCTAAAAAAAAATATAATGCTAAATATATTCTAAAGAACATTATATTAATATATTCTATGTACAGCTAATGTACAAATTCACTTACTGATGGCATGAAAATATTTAAATACAAACAATCTTCGTCGACCTTAGATACACCTTTAGTTAAACCTGTGTACATTGCAGGTTGTGGACAAGCGGGTCCATAGTCAACTGCTTGGTGCAACTGCCAGCCTTTGTGTGGTCGTGGTGGCTAAGTGTAATCATTAAAAATGTATTAATGGATTAATCAAGAAAATAAATAAATAAAATGCATACCCGGAATCTACCGTCATTGATTGGCGGTGATGCATATGGTATGCCTAAAAACACTGCCACTTCAGCTTGTTTTCTTTCGACGGGTGTTTGGAAAGGCCTATAACCACTTTCAGGCAGAGGGTTGTCATAAAGGTGTACCTTAAAACCTTGTATTTGACCGTATTTAGTAGATACAAAAACGTCTCTGTCAAGTTGCTTGGAATCCGGTCTTTCTTTACCCTGTAGATCCGGTCGCCACTTGCCCAAAATTCCTGGTAGCAATAACGTATTGTCTCCCTAAAAATTGATCAGTCAGTTAATGTAATGTTGAACTTAAAATATTTGTTTACGCTATTTACTTACAGGATAGTTAAGACCATTTGGTCGATAAGCAGGTGTTCCGGGCCTGCCGGGGTACGGCAGATTTCCAGGATATTGGTTGTATGGTGGTCGATTCAAATAATTATTTTGCTGGCCATATTGATTGAGCTGTGGATTAAATGGATCATTCGCCGACTGAGGCAAGTTACGGTCATATGCCGTCTGGGATTGTTGTGAATAGCTATTTCGATTATAGGGCTCGTAACTATATTGTTGGCCATTTGTTAATAAAACTTGAGATGTTAAAGCGATGAATAGGGCGTGACACTGAAGAAATAACATAACAGCTTTTCAGAAAAGATCACTAAAAGAAAAAAGTTCATCCGACTATCAGTAAAAGCCTGCACGACAGTGTATAGTTATTTTACGCCCACACATAACGGTCTCGTGTAAAAATTAGTAGTGTTTAATTTGTCTTTATGGTAATGTTCGTGAGAAAATATTAATTGTGAACGTTAAAAAATTAAAATTTCATTGTTTTTGTTTGTACTTTGTATAGTTGGCCCACATTCCAGCAGCTCTTAACATCTACTAGACAAGTGTACCAACACTTGTAATTCGGATAACGGTTAATGCTACACTGTTCTATTTGTGCAAACAAATTTTAAGTACGACTGAAAATTAAACTTTTTTTGAGAGTTTAACGCCACAAGGAATACAATATTATACATATTAATTATTGGCGTTTATACTTTATTAGCACACAGTGTTAAACGTTTAAATAAAAGCAAACTTAATTCTTACATCCCCTCCTCAACTCTTAAAGGTTTCAATGTCTTATCAATTTATTTGATGAACACCCCGCGATAATTCGATTATTATCACTAAATATATTTTAATGCAGTTCATTATTGTATCAAAATGTGGTTTCATCAGAATCGTTTTAAGGGAACACCCTATATAATTTTAGGTTTCTAAATTATTAATCTTTTTGACAGAACTTAATCATTTATGAACGACGATTATCGTCAAGACAACTTCTAATGACTACAATTCTACATGGTTATGACTGTAAGTTTTTTCAACTAAAAATAATTAACTAACTTTAGTATTATACCGCTTAAGAGAATTTTTATATACTTTATATATGTACTTAAATTCCTTGTATTTAGATAAGTCTAATTATTGTAGTGAAAAAGGAAATAAGGGATGAAGTTGTTCATTAATAGAATTTCTTCAACTCGATAATATGTGTAATTGTAATAGATAATCTTTTTATATTTTATAATTAAAAACACAATTTTATTCTAGTATCTATTTTTTAGTAAATATAGTTAGAAGCCATAAAGGTGTTAAACTATTAGGCTTAAGTTGTATATAAGTTGTATTTAGATTGTATATAACTTTGCATGCTAAATTGATCTGTTACAACGCGGCTTCTAGTATTAATACATTACACTCCTTTTGTAGATTTTTTTTCACAATTTCATTTGTAGCAATACTATTATGATACATAATAATCTATTGTTATAATATATTTATTTTAAACTACTAAATAAAATAATTTTAATTATTAAATAAATGCATTATATCTAAAAATCGTAAAGGAAAGATAATATATAGTACTTTTTTTCGACAGACAGAATAGGTATGTTTATATGTGTACGAATTTATTTGATATTGTTCTATAATACTATTTAAGAAACCCTCCGCCTTATAACTGAATTTTTCAGTTTACAAATCAGTAAAACGTGTACATTTTTATAAATTTCAAAAATATTTGTCAAAAAACAGTCTCATAATAGAACTAAAAATAACAATTGTTTTAAATATTTTACAGTAATAATTAGGTGTTTATAATAAATTATAAGATTAGTAGAAACGTAAACCATTTTGAAAGCAATCTCATTATTTCTAATTCCAATTTGTAAATGTATGTGGTTGCTTCTAAGTTACATAACAATATCCAGACGCTTATATAACATTTTTGTCTAACTTCAAATACTATTAGTAAACTCTAAAAAATAAGTATACTTAATGAAATAAAAAGCCTACAGAACAAAAAAAAAATGTTCAACATTGATCTCGAAGTAAATTTTGTATAATATATGGGACCTATATTATGGATGTGTCCTATAATTTTGTAAATAATACAAATCTCCTTATTTGGCAACACTGATACCTCATATAAGCTTTATCCAGCTCAAACATGTTTATTTTGTTTTTTTTTTTTTTTTAATACAAAAATGAAAAAATTACGTTTGTTATTATTGGTCGATTAAAAAAAAAAAAAAAAAAAAGAAATTGGGAAGCTAGGTGCTTTCAAGTTTTATGTTAAATTTTTGTAAATGAATGATAGTCATCAATCGTTACTGTATTTTTCATCAAAATATTATGACACTCATAAGTCATATCTTATCGTGGAGTATAAAACCAATTTTATTATTCTTTTTAATGTATGAAATCGAAACCGATAACATTATTTTTTTATAATAAATAAATTCCGCCGATTGTTGTTACCTACGAATCATTACGTTTGTTTGTGTTGTATTACAATTTACAACAGTTTTTATTACGTACGTACTACAGCTGTAGTGATGTCAATACCTAGCTAGTGTAATAAAAATGACATTCCGGTGTAGTATTGATATGTATGTGTATGGTGTATATAATATACATAATAATTATTGTAATATCATTTATTGTATCCGACATCGCGGTCGTGAGCATATTCGAATACCTACCAAACCATAAACGTAGAACTAATGGGAAAGTCTGTTGTCGAAGTGTCTATACTCGGCGTGTAACGAGATCTTTGCAGGTGACACCTGTTTCCTTTTTCTTTTTTTTTATTATACTCTGTTCGTGTTGTTTTAAATGTATCAGAATGAACCGCTATGACGTGCGCGCGCGACCGTCCCATCTGTAGTTAAATATTTATTTATAAATATACCTGGGTTTTTGAATAGGATTCATCATTGTCCATTAGATATATGTTACACGTATTTTATTGACACGCAGGATGTCCGTCATTTCCTAATTAACGCACGCTGCTGGTGCGACGCTGCCGAGTTAAGCGAGTGGCACTTTATTGTTGCTTAATTACTATTATTACATCTTTTCAAGCAACAACAACAACAACACCGTTTTTAGGATTTTAATCGAGTGGATAGGAGGGTGATCTACATTTTTTCAAGAAGGCCGTATTCAATGATAAACGTGTCTATATTCGTTATGAATCATTTTGTTCCCGGTTTATTTCCAACATATTATATTTCAGTTTAATGTTTACAATATTTATATTGTAAATACCCTCCCCGAAATCGGAGTGATTAAATAAAGCTAGAGAAACCTTAGCACCCTTAACCCTAAATTATTACTAGCCGTTTCTAGCTCCTTTCAAAAACCCGTTAAGGTCATAGTTAGGTAAGTTCGATAAAATAATATACGTGTAGGATATAATATATTGTTAATCGCCTTGGGTTATCCTATTATATATATATTATTATTTCAAATTGTGATAATAATATAATATCTTCAATGACGTCAACTTAATAATTGGTATCATAATTTGTTTTTTACTTTTATGTTCTATTTATGTAATTTCAAATATTTAAAGTTTTTATTATACTGCATATTGGATGAGAGATATTATGTAACTTACCTAAATTCAGAATTTGTATAATTCAAATTTAAGTCAATTTTCGTAATTGTAAATTATTTAAAAACTTAGTATCAACAAATTGTATCTAATATGAGTATATTAACAAGACTTTAAGTGGCTTTTACAAGGGGTTTAGTGAACATTTAAATTTGTTATGTCCCGCCTCTACTAGTTATTATTGACAAGCTTATAATATAGTGTGCAGTTCAATTCAATCCAAACATCAGTCTCTTATGTTTGTTTGATGGCGTTTAAATCTTTGTGACCTTTTAAATTCTTGTTCCTCCTAGACTCCAAAATGACTTTCTGTAATTCTTTATTGGCTCTCAAATGCTTACGTTTGTCAGTTGAACCTACTATGATCATATTTAAAGTAAATTCGCTTTCTAATTTCTTATCGTTAATGCTTGAGTGTATGTGAATTGTCGACAACTGGATCGGTCAAAACAAGACAAGCTACTGCATAAATGATTAGTCATTGTGTAATAATATATTTGTTATGAAAATGTGTCACGTGTTGCGTTGTCTAGCATTTGATAATATTTTATGTACTGTGTAATGATAATGAAAATAAAATAATGTTACATTATTTACATAATTAAGTAGATATATCTCATGAAAAAAGTGTTGTTCCGTATTCAAATAGTATCTATTTAAGTAAAGACCTCATCATGTCATAAAATATTTATAAATGTTAAAATAATGCAATAACGCCAAAACTAATTTTATGATAGCAAAATTGCCATTATCGAGTGATATTTTTCCTTGTACATTTAATGTTATGACTATTTGTTATGCTCTTCACAACGTATAATATTCGGCAATAGTCTGACAAAATTCCATTCTGTATAATTTCATATAGTTCAAACTTGATATTATGTTAGTTGTTATTCGTTAATTTATTGACTGTTCCTTTTATGTATGTTATGTAAATAATATATACCAAAGTAAATAATCAGATTATAATGTAGGCGAGGTACAAATAAATTATATCTTTTAAAACTTTAGAGTTTAGTATTTACCATAATAATTCTATAGTCGTAGTACAATAACAGTACAAAACAGAACTATGATCATATCAAAATCAAATGATAATTATTTATTGATAAGGAAAAAATTATAAAGTTTATTTTTAAATATCAGAATTGTATACTGCGCATAATATTTCATTTATTAATGATAGCATTTGAAGTTCAAGTAAATATAGAAAGTAATCTATAAATTCATATCCGCTTAATTTATGTTGGGTACCATTGATTTTAAAATTTACTGTATTTTATTATTTTTAAAATCAAAAAAATTACTTATTTAATTTTTACAAACTCATCGTCACTAGTTTAAATTAGGTAATTAAAAAATGTTAAGCATATAAGATTGTCATTGCGAACAGAGGGGACTCAGATTAACACTAACACGTTGTTCCACCTACTCTTTAATTGATTATATATTAACCTTTTAACTCACGTTTAATTAATTGTTATTAATTGCACGTGTGCTCGTACTTACATCGGTGACCGACCTCATAAACTTTTCGGTTCTACTATACACAAGCCTATGTGATTACAAACGCTATAAGGTAAGATTACCTAACCGCATACTTCCAAGACTACAATATGCAGTCGTTATAGTGCACTTTAATTGGTTTTGTACTTGTAATTAATTTCCATTGCTACGTAGTATTTCTATAGTTAAACTCAATTATATCCAATTTGTTTTTCTTTATAGTTTCTTCTAACAAACGCGCTGACGATTTGCTTGTTGGTTTTTCATTAATTTTGTATTAATCCTTGTAATGAGTTTGTTGTTTAATATCAAACGCAATATGTAATGGAATTCGTTAATAAATAATAATAGGATTGAACGTGGTGGGCATTAAAGTATCAAATTTAAATATGTACGACTTAACTACATATGTGCACGCGTTATAATATACAATCTGCATTAGGCACGTGGCCAGATATTATCTTTTCGTTATTGTCGGCGGCCAGTAGATGTGCTAATGTTGAGATTTAATAATAATATTATGTTGATTACTGAATAAAAAACACTTAATTTTTTTTTCTACATATAATTCCGTCGCCAGAAGAGAATGCACATGATACAAAAATATTGCCATTAAATTATATGGGTTCATTCTCTACATGAAATTCTTGTTGTAGCATTTTTTACATAAGTGCACATTGGTGGCTTCAAACCAAATTACCAAACAAAAATATGATGATAGTTATTTGAAAAAGTAAATAACTCTTTGTCTGTTATACTTACATAATATATATTTAAGCGTCGTTTTTATACATTGTGAGTAAAAAATTAAAATGCTAAATGACGTGACCTTAATACCCTTCGTTCCAAATTTAGAAAAATCGTTAAATTTTAACTGGGACACGATTTTATACAAATAATTTCG